AGATATAAAAATATCCTTATTTAAGGCAAATATTAATTACAATTTTATTATTATAAAATTAATTAATATAAAAGAAATATTTATTTTTAAAGTAAAGGTTATAATAAAATAAATTATTATTATATAAAAATATTTAATAAATAAATTTAAATTCTTATAAATAAAAATAAAGAAATATAATAATTAATATAAGATTAAAAAATTAATCTTTAAAAGCGGAAATAAGGTTTACTTATTATAATAAAATATTAAAATTAAAAGATTAAATAATAAATTAAATTATAAGAAATTTAAACTTTTTAAAATTAAAAAAGTTATTTTAAAAATTAATTACAAATTATTATTATTAATAAAAATAAAATTACATTTAATATTTTATATTTCCTTATTAAAAAAAGCATTTAAAAAAGTATTAATATAAATTACTTTAAATATTAAAACTAATTAAAAATATAAAATTAAAAAAGTATTAAATTTTAAGTAATTTAAGAATTAAATTAAATACTTAATTAAATAAAAAAATTACTTATTAGAAAAAAATATTTGAGAATTAATTAAATATTTTAAAAACGTTTGGGAGCTTATGAAAGCGTTTTATCGAAAAAATCTTAATTGCCCACGAATAATAACAGATTTAGATTCGGAGCGAACCCCTTTTAAAGGAAAAAAGCATTAACAATGTCAAATAGGCTTACTAAGGAAAAAAGATCATTTTAATCCTTTTCTATAATCCTTTTTTCTTTTAAACAATTTAACTCCTTTTTATATTAAAAAATAATAAAAGTTTTTACCTTAATTAATTTCTCCTTCTTATAAAGCTTTTAAAAATATATAATATGTTTTAAAAGATTTTTCTAATATTCTTCGATATTTTTTATAATATAAATTATAATTTCCTTTTTTAATTTTTCGAAATAATTATTTAAAGTTTTTTTAAAATCTAAAACCTTATTTTTAATTTTATAATATTTTAATTTAAAATTATTTAACTTATTTTATAAATTAAATAATAAATTTATTGTAATTACATTATAATTAGAACAATAACTTTTTTAAGTACAATTATTATAAGAACTTAAATCAAAAAGGAAAAAATAAATAAATTCGTTTAAATAACAATAATAAAAATAAAAAATACAAAAAATACTTATTAATTTAATTTATAAGGCATAAAATTTTTAACCCTTTTATTAATTAACGCAAATATAATATTTTATTAATAATTTAGATATATAATTTAATATTTTAAAAAAATAATTAAAAATGCAAAAAAGAAATAAAAAAAAAAGAAAAAGGAAAAACTTACTAAAAACTAAGGTTCTTTAGGAACAAAGGACTTAAGAAAAAGGGAATAATATTATAAAACTAATAAACAAAAAGTTATTCCATAATAAGAAGCGGGGTTTTACGCTTTTAAAACTGGAAAAACCCTCAAAATATACATTAAAAAATATAAATTTGGCTAAATCTTATAAATCTTATTAAATCTTAACTAAATTTAACTAAATCTACTAAATTTAATAAGATCTTAAATTATAATAACTTTAAAGCTTAAAAAAACTTATAAATATTTAAAACCATTATATATTTAAATACTTATTTACATTTCCTTAATTATTAATCTAAATCTTATATTTAACCTATATAAGGGAAAAGACTTTAAGCTTTTTTAATGAACATTTTTAACGTTTTATTAACACTTAACTTATATCGTTACTATTAACCCAAAATCAAAACCCCTATTACTACACTTTAACGGACCTAAGTGTAAGTTCGTTACACTTTTAAAGTATTTTACAATTCTTAAATATATAACCTATCTTATTACAATTATAATACTTAATTTTAATTATATTTTTCTTAAGTTTTTCCATTTTAATAGCGTTAAAGCTTTTTTTTTAAATTTTTTCTTAATATAAGTAAAAATAAGCTTTTTAATTTTTTTTTCTTAAAACCTTTATATAATCTTTTATTATAAATAATAATATATTTAATATATTTATTAATATACTTAAGCTTTTTTTCTTTTAAAATCTTATTTTTAACTTATATAATTAACCCTTTATAAAAATAATTAAATTAAATATCTTTAAGAAATTAAGCAATTATTATTAATCTTTTAAATTTAATAATATATTTTAAAACTTTTTTAATTTATTTAAAGTTTTAAATAACTTTATAAGTATTTTCCTTTTTAAATAAGTTCCCGAATATTAATTACATTTTATTTTTAAAGTTAAAGTACTTATTAAAAATATATTTAAATTCTTTTATTTCTTTTTAAATTTTATTTAAATAATTATTTATAATAAGTTAAAACTATTTAAAAGTATTATTTTTAAAGTATTAATATATTATTAAAACTTTATACTCATCTTTATTAAAATTAACTTAAAAGAAAATTAAATAAAATTTAACTGTGTTAAATCAAGTTTTTATATTTGTAATATTATTATACTTAAATAGTGGAAAAGGTTTAAATCTCTTATTAAATAATAACGGGACCGTAAGGTCTTATTGTACTGGATGTGGATTAAGGTTTTTATTATTATCTTTATCATTATTTTTCTTAATTTTAAATTTGGTTAATTCTTTTTTTAAAATGTTTATTTCGTTTTTAAATGCTTAATAAGCTTTATATGCTCTTTAAAGTCCTTCTTTTATAAAATCTATTTTATTTTCCTTAGTTTAAGCTTTTCCTTTTCTTTTATTAATAATTTTAATAATCTTTTTTACTTTTTTTTAAATGATTTTACTTAAAACCTAATTTTTGCTAAAGCTATATTATTAATTAATTTTAAAATATAATTAAAAGGTAATATATTAAGTTCATTATATTATTTTATTTAATTAATTTTTATTAAAAGTTAATTTTTATTAAAAGTTAATTTTTAAGGGTTTTATTTAATAAATATTTTAAGATAAATAAATTATAGTTAATTTAAGTAAATAAAAGGATATTATTATTAAAATTAATATTTATATTATATTTAATTAGTAATAATATTAATTAAAAAATTATTAAAATATAATGAACTTATATTTAAATTTAATAAAATATAGTAATTAAGGTTTTAATTTTAAATAAATAATAAATAATACGGGTTAAATGTTAATAAAATGTTAAAATATTTATTAAAAAAGCTTAAAGTCCTTTTTTTTATATAAGTTAAATATAAGATTTAAATTAATAGTTAAGGAAATATAAATAAATGATTAAATATATAATAATTTAAATATCCTATAGATTTTCTTTATTTTTAACTTAAAGCCTTTATAATCTTAATGATTTTAATAATCTCATTAAAATCATTAAGATTATTAAAATCATTTCCCTTTATTAAGATTGCTAAGGTTTATTTGTTCTTAATTGTACGTTTTAAAATCCCCGCTTCTATATAAAGTATAGTTCTTATGCTATTAATTCGTAACAATTATTAATATTTAAAAAAAGTAAATTAAAAAAGGATAAAAAAAACTTATTTTTATATAATTTAAAATACATAAATACTTTTTTTATTAAATACGTACCGTAATGTAATACATATATATATATATATATCATGCAACCATCAATTTTTTATAATTATATTATTATTAACCAATAGCTTAATAAGCCATACCAAGTGAGGAAACGGGGTTATTATTACGAATTTTAAGGCGTGCGGCCCAAGATTAGGCCATGCGCAGGGCGCATGGGCCACCTTGAGAAATGGGAAGGACCTCCCTGTCACGTGGCACCCTCAGGAGCGTAATCTCGCGTAGTTACGCACCACTACGCTGAGGCTCTGCGCGTAACTATGCGTAGCTACGCGCTACTACGCCTATACTGACGATTTTCTATATAGATAGCTTCGTATTCCCACTAGGTAGAATCGTCAGTAGTCAATTTAAGTCATTCCTGAAGCTTACCAAGTATCACATACACTTGAATCACGATATCAACTCTGTTACCTTCAAACCAAGCCTTAACCTTGTGACAGTTATGACCAACAACGATTCGGATAAACGTCGGTTGAATGGATCTTATGGATCTTAGAGATTTGATGGATCTTGATAAGATCCAAAAGATCCAGAAGATCCAACGAACTGACAAGATCACTCAGGAAGAATGACAAAACAGAGCAATACAGCAAGAAGGGCATTTCATATAACTATCAAACGTTTCTCATGTATCTAGTCATTCATTAATAAGGTACTAGTGTTGTCTACGTATACTCGACGTCGCACCCCTTTGGGGTGCTGCGCTTTAATTAAGAAATCGGGCAGTAATTAAGCTAGCGTACCAAACTTCAAACACCAGTAAGAGGTTATTCCGATCCCTGTTACCTGCTAAAAGCGGAAGAGGAACAATAATATTTTATGAAATTTTATGAATGTTGGAAAATACTTTAAAATGTGTAGGAACTACACTTATTCGGAAGTACTTCGGATCGAATCCCTAATCTTGCCCGTTTCCTTAATTAAAGCGTAGCACCCCTTTGGGGTGCGACGTCGAGTATACGTAGACAGTACTAGTACTCTATCTATGGTCCTTCTCCGCAGTGATCGAGGATCTTTTTGACCTCGTATTCTTCTTCGTCTTCGAGCTCTGTAGTCTTGTCAAGCTGTGCCCGTGCAGAACAGCGTCAAAATAGGTAGCGCACCTATTTAGAATACCAGAACATCATCTTTTGATAATAGGTTTTACGACCAGTACCACCAATACCACCAAGAATAAAATACACAAAAATATCTCTATAAACTTCAGCTCTTATATTTTATTCATATGGTTTATCTATTTCTCCTTAACAGTACTTATTGCGGCATCGTATTTCTAAGTTTTAATAAGGTAAGTTATGGTATACCATGGGAGAGTGCGCCACCTATTTTGACGCTGTTCTGGTAGGTAGTTAGATCACGAACTAGAGGCAAGGCATACTCGTTCTCGTTCTCGATACCCGCTTGCTGATGCCAAGAACTCAGCTCACTAACTTGGCTTATCCATATGAGGAAATAACTGCGAGGTAATCACATTAAGATTAGGAATGGGAATTCGACGTATGATCCTAGCTTAAAATAATTGACCCGACTCCATCAAGGCCTCAATGGCGAAGCACTCAACGAGAAGAACTCTTAGGCGGTATCTCATTTTCGGGATGGTATCAACAAGAGTACCTAACCTAACCTAAGGTATTGCACCATATAGGTAATAGCATGGGGGGTATCTACGTAAACCTAGCATATAGTTTCAACCCAGGTGATAAACAAACACAAGAAGGGACCCCAACAGAAACCGTAAAAAGAACCAAGCACGTCAGCGTCGGCGTCTGACAAATTTCTCCCAACGATGGCCACGTTCGTCGTACCCGGCGCTAGGACCCACGTGCATCTCCTTCCAACACCTGGCGCAGTAGATCTCGTCGTCACAGCCCAGGCAGCGGATCGCGCCGTCTTCCAAGCACACGACGCACCACGTCTTCTGGTCCTCGTCCGTGAAACCGAATCGCCTGATAAGTCCTGGCGCGGGCCGGTCTGCGGGCGCAAATGTGGGCGCCGAAGGGAGGCCTAGAGGATCGATGTCTGCGGGCACCGAAGGCAGATCCGGGCCATCGGATGTATCGACTTTGAGCGCGGCCATGCGGGAAGAGATAGATGCCGCGAAGTCGGCGTCATCCCGTGGTGCTTCAGGATGAGCTGGTAGATATTGGTCCTGGAAATCTGTCGGAACTGCAGGTAAACTGAAGGGGTCACCTTCACCTTCATTAGATCCCAATTTGGCTGTCCCTCCTCCATTTTCTGTTGCGTCGGCTGTAGTATTAGGTTTCACGGTGTGACTTGGTGCAGCAGCCGGAGACCCAGGCTGAGAGGGAACCTTAGTAGCGTTATCGTGCTCTACCTCATCAACAGCCTGGGCAAGAATTTCGTCGGTTTCACGGGTCATGCGTTCACCGTCGGAGTCATCGTCGCTGCTGCTTTCACTCTCATTCTCGTCGTGAGACTTCCTAGGCTTTGGATATTTTTCCAGATCGTCGGTAATCCTGGCAGTACCCCAGAGTTCTTGGAGAAGTGCGGTTACTCGGCGATGCTCATCTTCGGCCAACATCTCTTTGACCCGTTGCTGGTCGGATTCGAGGTCGGCAAGAAGCTCCTCGAGCGTCTGGTCATCAGTGTAGAGAAGGGGATCTTCGTCGCCGTCTACATTTTCTGTACATGAACTTTGCGGCACATCTACGCCTATTCCCGAACCTTGGGAATATGGAAGTGGCTGTGATGGCGGCTTAGGAGATGGCGAGGAGGTGGTGTTTTCTTTTTCTTCTTTTTCTCTACGATTTATCTCCGAGCCAGGGGAAGTAGTTTTGGCTTTATTATCAGTTTGGTTTCGAAGGCTCTTTAATCTTTCTGAAAGAGCATCTTCTTTAGATAAAGGTTTGGCTTGTTCTCTAGTAGATGCTGCAACTGACCTGGAGATGCTTAGCAAAGCTATGTGAGCGACCTAGCATACGACGTAACTAGAATAATAAATAATAAGCTGTCTTACTTTGAGGGGGGGCTTAGATTGACAGTACTAGGCTTAAGCGCATTTAGCCTCTCAAGAAGAGTTCGATCAGATCCCGGGAGATCCGTCATGGCGAGAACGGGGATGTGAGATAGGTTGACGGAAGTATTGACGTTGCTCTGTCTGTCTCTGTTTACCTGCCCAGGTGGTAAAAAGTGGCGATACAAGGCGTCAACTTTAGTTCCTTATTGGTTTCTTGAGGTTGGTAGGGTTCATGCTGACATCAATTTGTATGTATTGTATATAGTAAGGCTGAGCTGTTGGTCCGGGGATTTATTGTGTAATTATCAGATTCGCCTTGCAGCATATTAGGAAAGGTGATGCCACTCCTGGTTGGCTAACTGGCTGGTTATTGAGATAACTAGTGGGGATCTATAGGTACCTTATTCCAAATCAAGTTGCTGGGAGGTACCTCCTACCTAAGGTTAGAGGTACATGTACAATTTGTCATACATTAGGTAGTAAATGCTTGGTCTCTCCACTGTGACAGCAGTGAATTGCATTGTCCTTCTAGAGCAGTTCTAAAAGTGGATTAAAGTCATGAACAGCACAGCATGAACAGGCGGCTTAGACAAAGGATTAACTCTTTTTTTCTCCTTGCAAAACTATAGACGTCACGAGAGAAACAAAGAGGCAATGATTGGCAGCCCCAACCCTTCAAACCTTTAAAGTATTGGCCGCACCGCCACCTACATAACAATGTAGCCCCTCATCAAGCCGTACCCCGGACTGCCTAACTGATAGCCTGATTAAAACTTAGTATCGTGTCGGAGTACCCAAGTGCGGTGCCAAGCAGAATCTTGGCAATAACCCTTCATCGTTGTTATTAATCTACATATACTCCAACTTCTCATCTTTTCAACTTTTTCTTTGATTTTCGCTTACATCCAATTTCATCCATTTTCCGCTATACAAGCATCGCTGTGCCTCGATATTGCTTTGTCCCCCCCAATAGTTATCCATTCTCATGAAGACCTCACATTTCTTACTGGGCCTAGCTGCCCTCACCCAAAACATCAATGCCGCAACAATTCGCGATGTTCAAGACGTCGCTTTAGATGCGACAATATCGGACATTCCGATAGAACAGCGGGACCCGGGGACATTTGCGCAAAGCGAAGAATTATGGAAGCGCAAAGGTGGCGGAGGAGGTGGCGGTAGAGGCGGTGGTGGTTCTTCAGGTTCGTCTGGCGGTCGCGGTGGGTCTGGCTCCTCTGGCTCGTCTGGCTCTTCTGGCTCTTCTGGTTCTTCTGGTATTGTTGATTCGGCAGCGCGGTAGTCGCATCGGGGTAAAAAGCGCGAATAGGCTAACAATCCGATTATAGGTAGTTCCGGAGGTTCTTCCAGCGGCGGTCGCGGGTCGCCGGGATCCAATACCGGCGGCTCGACGACGACCGGAAGCGGTGTCCGACCTAGCTATGGAGGCGGTGGATACTACGGCGGCGGCGCAAAGCAGCCGTACAAGGCTGGTACCGCGACTCCCTCCGGCATCTTCCCCTTCGTCCTCGGCGGCGCCGCTCTCGGAACCCTTGGCTTCGTAGGCTTGAGCTTGGCCTCCAACGCGTATGCGTATCCTTACACGCATCACTACCCCTACCACAACGCTACAACCAATCAGAACGAGACCAAACCCGTCGTGTGCATTTGTGATTACTACGGCGAGTGCGGTTGCGACGACAACGGCAACCAGACGTACTTCAACTCCGTCATCGGAGACGGCAGCTACGAAAACCTGAACAGGTCGCTAGTTACCGTGGCCGAGAACGAGACTACCCACGAGAAAACCATCTACATCTATGGTACCCTGCCCAACGGCACGACCTCGTCGGGTGGCACCGAAGACCCCAACGCTGGTGCTGGCTTGCAGACGCTAGCCCGAGCTGCGGGTTGGTGGCCGGTAGTGACGACCGCGATCGCTATCGTGTGCCTTTCGTAAGGACGGAGGCTTGATTTTGATTTATATCCTTCAATTTTTCTTTTGATCCTTTTTCTGTATATGTGACTTCGTACATTCTTTTCACGCATGACCCTCACGAGGTGAAGTTGCGATAACGCCTAGAACTCTAATGAGGGATATATACCCACGGGCGTTCCGGTTTTGTCTTGAAGGTGAGGGGGGGTTAGTTGGGGAGGCTAAGGTTTATGCTCATACGGTTGCTACATGTTGTATACCCATATGGAATACCCTCACAGACCTGGGGTTAAGACGGCCGCAGAGGCCAAGTTGCGGGAGTTCTCTCCTAGATAAAATAACACTATCTCAGCAATAACGTTCTAGATGCATGGCCTTCTAATTCGTGATATGCTACAAGTCTACCAATATCGATATAAACGTGTATTAACAATAGTATTTAGCTATGTAGACTGAAACTCATCAACTCGAACTAGGGGTATATCTCGTGAAAGAAGTAGCAAAGACTCGCTATGCATGGTAATCCTCGTTTGTAGCAGCAATAATAGAAGGCAAAGCAGCTCTTCTGTTCATGTCAAATTTGACGTTCCAAAATCCTTACTATCCTCAGCAACAACAACAACAGCAGCAGCAGCAGCAGCATCTTCTCTTTCTTTACGTCTCTCCACGCACCAATCTCCCAAAATCTTCCATATCCTCTCCTTCTCCTCCGGCCTTAGCGTCGCCGCGAGCCCGCTCGTACTAGTCGCCACGAACACCCTCGTACCCTCCCAAGGCTCGTCTCCACCACCCCCATCCCCATTCTTTCCGTCAGCAACAACAACACCCATCCTCTCCTCCTGCCACCCGTACTTAAACTCCCCCTTCGCCAGGGACCGCCCGCGGCGCACGCGGAACACGCTCTCCCAGATGCTCTTCCCCGTGATGCACGCGACCTCGGGCCGCCAGCGGCGACACTTGGCCTCGAGGACCGCGACGCCCTGGTCCATCTCGGCGCGGCTCAGCTCGGCGCCGCTGCGCGAGGGGCGGGCCACGATGTTAGTGTGGCCGAGGGCGAAGCGCGCGGGCATCGTCTGGTCCTCGTGCGCGCGGCAGCGCACGGGCGTGATGCCCGACGAGTGCAGGAGCTTCCAGAAGAGGTTCGACGGGTGCGCGTACGCGTGGCCCACGCGCGCCGTCTGCAGCCCCGGGTTCAGCCCGATGAACAGGATCAGCAGGTTCGGCGCGATGGCGTCCGGGAGGAGGGGCAGGTGCGCGTATGTGGAGGGCGGGGCGTAGGAGGAGGATGGGCCCCGGGATCGCTTTTTCTTGGGAGATGCCGAGGCTGGTGTTGTTAGGGGGGTGGTTTTCCTACTGCTGCTATTGCTGTTGCTGTTGCTGCTCTCTTCCGCATCTGATGTCCCCAGCCGCGTTTTGCGCTTCTTGGAGTTGGTTGGCGCTTCTGATGATGAGAGTGACGGTGACGGTGACGGTTGAGATGAGACGACGGACTGGGGTGTTGTTGATGTTGATAGCCTCTGACTTCGACGTGGTGATGATATAGATGACGGGTTTTGGCTTGGTCCCTTAAACACGAAATTCTTCAAATGGAGACGGCCTTCAAAGCTTGTTTCTCCGAGGGAATTATCTGATTTGCCATTTATTATCCCACGGTCATCTTTGTCGGCTGCCATTGTGACGGTTTATAATAAATATATGAGGCCAATATAATTGTTCTTCTCGGTGACCCAATTGTTTAAACTGGTTATGTCTTTCTAGTTACTGTGGAAAGCAGAGGCTGATGCCGGATACATTGCAAGCATTGCAAGTAGGTACACTCGATTCCCTCAGTCTAGCGGATGCATGTTGTCGTTGACGCCAACTCTTATAGTGTACCTTAGATAAGTGGGAGAATTCGCAACTTAGCGTGATCAATTACGGGGCATGAATATTAGGTAAGGTACATGAGAAGGTACCTTATGTACCATGACATCTCACTAACACAGAAACCGGACAAAGTTCGTATTCTTTGAAAACACCATCTGCACTGCCTCATCGTAGTAACATATTGTTTTAGACATTCCGAAGCCATTTAAGCTCCAAACGTCTATTGAATAATAGATACCATTTCCTCGTATCGGAACGCTAGATCGGAAGGACTTTAATGTTTGTCAGGGATTGCACCCAGAGCTTATCTAGATCTATTCAATCAGAATTCATTTGAAGTCTAGACATGTCCAATCAGGTACGGCTGGTACCGCACGTTAGGTTAGGATGATTGCAAATGCAGCTTGCCGATTGCAATATCACACATATTGACATATTGACATATTGAACGTCGTCAGCCCACCAAACTATAAAATACAAACACGGATAATACAGCAGACGGCTGTTATACACACTCTAACTACCAGGTAGGCTATACGAAATGCAACTCCAGCAACGTATCGGTTTAGCAAATAGGAGGTGGCTGCGTCGCCGCATGGCTTGTCGAAGCGGTGAGATGCGAGATGCAAGTCCATCTATAGTATCCAACCAAATACTATGTAATCGAGATGGATAGCTACGAATCGTATGAAAGAGCGGAATAAAAACAGGTGATCCCAGGCGATGGTGTTCACTAAGACGCTAACACGCTAACCTGCAGACATGCCGGACATGGAGGGGCAATGCGAAAAGCTAAGGCTGTTTAAAACTGCTAAAATTCCCCTCAACCCCACCAAGTCTGCATCTCTAAACGTTTCTACATGTACCTAGGTAGACTTGCACAAGGATCCCCTGTTTCTGCCCCTCTGCCCCTTTCCTACAGTGAAGCCTCCAAGTTTTGCAAAGACCCCCCTCGCTTTTGATAAGCCACACCACCTTTCGCCACAAATTCAACCTCCAGGATGACATAAGGGCTGATAAAATGCCTCAAGTTTTTATAAGCTGATCAGATCAAAGCACCTTTTCCACTGCGACAAAAAATCTTGAGTTAAACCTTAAGGCATAAGGATAACAACACCATTAACTATCGTGACTTACGCTACATGTAGCATTATAGGTACTTAATCTATTCCCGCTTATTCAACTTTTTTAAATTTTATGCTTTACTACTTCCTCACCTCATAGTTACGCCGTTTTAACGTGGTTGCTAATAGCTTAATATAATGCCTTGAAATATGAGTATTTTTAATAACTGGGTATTTTGTTAACTTGAGTTTGATAGGAATCGCCGTGGCTAAAATGATTAACCGTGGCTTTACCTGACTACCTACCTAAGGTAATCGCGCCTCAAGGTGTGCTCCTAACACATCCTTACTACCTACCTAGCCTAAGGTAGGTAAGTACTAGGAGAAGTAGTGACAAGGGGTAAAAGCTAACAATATTTCAAGGGGTGGAGTTGCACCACGAGTTGTTGTACTTTCTGCCCCTCAGCTCTTCCAGCTTATTTGTTTTCCGGAGATCCCCTGTCTCTCTTAACATAGTTCTGTTAGGTAACCTCAAGTCCCTATTTCTTTCATAAGTCCAGCACTGCCTTTTGAATTTCAAGCTTGGGATTTTTCCTTTGGTAAAGTCTTTTCTTCCCTTCCTGTCCTATAATCTGCGTACAGATTATACAAGCTACCTTTATCTTTATCAGTTTATACGGCTCTCAACCCTCGCTCAAGACCACCATGGCACAATTTACTCCCACCGAGTATCAGAACCTCAAGTCTGTATACGAAAAGGCCGGCCAGGGTCATGTATTCACTTATTTCGACTCCCTAAGCCAGCCCGAGCAACAAGCCTTTTTCGAGCAACTCCAGAAGATTGATCCCGCCAGAGTCCAGAAACTACGAGACCTTGCTTTGAACCCACCGACAGAGGAGGGTCAGGCCGTCCTCGAACCCCTCCCCGAGTCGGCTAATGCTAGCATTTACGATTCGAAGCCTGAAGATATTCAAAGATGGTATGACCTTGGTTTAGAACTGATTGGGAAGGGTGAGGTTGCCGTAGTTTTGCTAGCCGGCGGTCAAGGTACCCGCCTAGGAAGCAAAGCCCCAAAGGGAGCCTTCGATATTAAACTCCCTTCCCATAAATCCCTTTTCCAAATCCAAGCCGAGAGGATCTTGAAAGTCCAAGAGTTAGCAGCTGCGCGGGCCGCAGACCCTAGCAAGGCCGTGATCCCATGGTTCATCATGACCAGTGGTCCGACACGGGGGCCCACCGAGAGATTTTTCAAGAAGGAAAAGCTTGACGAACTGAGCGACGAGGAAAACGCCATCCGGGCTCAGGGAAAGCCTTACTTCGGCCTCGACCCCAAGAACGTAACCATCTTCGAACAAGGCGTACTTCCTTGCATCACCAACGACGGAAAGTTCATGCTTGCGAGCAAGGGAAAACTGGCTGTTGCTCCCGACGGCAACGGTGGTCTATACAAGGCTCTACAGGATGAAGGGGTCCTGGATAAAATGCGCCCCAATATCAAGCACGTCCACGCTTACTGCGTTGACAACTGCTTGGCCAAGGTCGCGGATCCGATCTTCATCGGATTCGCTGCGGAGAAGAAGGTGAAAATTGCTACTAAGGTTGTAAGGAAGCGAGATGCCAAGGAGTCAGTCGGTCTCATCCTCCAGAAGAATGGCAAGCCTGATGTTGTCGAGTACTCGGAAGTCGACGATGCCATTCGTCAAGCAGTAGACCCCAAGCAACCCAGCATCCTCAAGTTCCGCGCTGCCAACATCGTCAACCACTATTATTCGTTCGAATATCTGGACAGCATGGGAGATGCTGTGAACAGCTTACCACCGCATGTTGCCCGAAAGAAGATTCCCTTTTTCGATACCGAGAAGGGTGAGGCTGTAGAACCCAAGACGCCAAACGGTATCAAGCTGGAGCAATTCGTTTTTGATAACTTCAAGTGGCTAAACTTAGACGAGTTTGCCTGCTTCGAAGTCAGGCGTGAAGAGGAGTTCTCCCCTCTAAAGAATGCAGACCCAGCCCAAACGTCTGACGGAACATTCGAGAAAGAGCCTGAGGACAGCCCTACAACCAGTCGCAGACACATCAAAGAGCAGGGTCGACGATGGGTTGAAGCAGCTGGCGCAACGGTCAAGAATGGAGATGTTGACGGTGGCCTTGAGGTCTCCCCGCTCACAAGCTACGTAAGTTTTTATCCCTACCAACAACTCAGGACACTTCTGACAGTAAGCATAGGCCGGCGAAGGTCTGGAGGAGTTCAAGGGGCAGACCATCGAACAAGCTACTATTTGATTAAGCGAAAAGATAAGTATGCTGTCACCTTTGAAAGTTAATGGCTGGGTCTTAGCATTTACTTTCAGAAATATAACCTCATTTGACATTGAAGATAACTACGAAAGAAAAAATAACATAGAGAAACTCTTTGACAGTTTTACAATATGTATTTCATTAGATTTTCAAGTATCATTTGTCTGTATAACTCTTTGGAAGTTAGCAAAATGAATACGCCAAGACCCGGCCATGATTATTCGAGGGTGCTAGATACCCCGGTAGACCAATTAACATAAAAAATAGAATACCCAATTTCCAGAGCATACCAATGGGCCTAGTAGAGTTCCGCGGGTTCGACATGATAGTTCATTGTTATGGTTACGGGATAAGGATTTCATTGAACACACTACAGAGAGTAACTATCCGGCAAAATAATAGCATTTGTTTAAAACTCTAGTTTAGCCTTGTGATCAGGTAATAGCCAGGTCACATCCCACCTTTCTTTGGTATCTCAACTTTGCTGCAGCCTACGACCTGTGTGATTTCAGAGACTAACAATAGGCATTCTAAACATCCAATTCCAAGATTGTTCCACAAAATCGTATAAATATCTGCCCAGAACGCTTGCGAAGCTCAGCCCTTCTACACGAGAACAGCCACAAAAGGTCTTGGACAAGAGACTCCTGGACAATTCGATTGACGAAAGTGGCGTTTAATGAAACACATACGCCGTTGTACAACATGATGCTCCCTTGGGGGCTATGCCTGCTAGGCATGTAGAACTCAGGTTTAAGAATCCTAAGCTAACCATCCTTCTGATGCATGCTCTACCTACTCCTTTTTCTTGTCACTATACTGTCACTATAGATGGATATAGCAACGTTAACCCCTCGGGTTGATACTATTCTACCTTTTGGTTGTATACTGGCATCTTCAATGGATCATGGCGCTATTCTGACGCCGCATTCGTCGGAGCAGACACTGATTGGGCTGCAAAGGAACGAGTCTGCGCCTGACAGCCAACCCTCCCGGCCGGGTCCTTCCTCGCTACCCCTGTTGGAACGAAATGACTCCTTAGAGAGTCAGGGTTCGCAAACAGAGTGGTTCGAAGATAATAACCCGGAGCAATCTAATGATACTACGCGCGGGTTCCCGTGGTTATGGGTATTCCGCGTCTGGAAATTCCAGCTTTCTGCATCTCTTCTATGCTCGGCAAGCCTCGCCGGTTTGGCTATCATGGCCGCAACTTTCTCCGACCGCCCTTTGGCAGACTGGCCCTTGTCGTTCATATCTATCAACGGCGTCGTGGCTATATTAACGGTCCTGTTGAAAGACCCGCTGATGGTCCTCATTGCCGATTCGATCAGCCAAGCTAAGTGGCCGTGGTTCTCGCGAGAGGGGCAAGCCGGGCGGCCGCTGGTCGACCTGGAGTTGATCGATAACGCCTCCCGAGGTCCTTGGGGGAGTTTCGTCTGGTTGTATAAACACCCGCTGGGTCTGCATCTTATCAGCTTTGGGGCGCTTTTGACGATGCTGGTCGCTGGCGTGGACGTCTTCTCTCAGCTGCTTATTACCACCGAGGGAAAAGTCGTTATCGATCCTGGGCAGAAAGCTCACGTACCGTGGGCGATGAACAACAGTGCCCCGATATACGGCCCAGCGTGGGTAGCGGCAATCTCCAACGGGATATATAGTTCCGCCGTCAACGACTTACCCATCGACTGCCCCAGCGGTAACTGAACCTGGGATGGTGTCGTGCCTTCGGTCGGCTTGTGCGGGAAATGCGAAAACTTCACGCAGTTGATGCCAAAGACGTGGATGTCATGTTCCGACCTGCTCTGCAATTACACAATCGATGGGGAACAACAGTCATGGCCGGATGTGATGAATGCGCCTAAACCAAATTCAGTATGGAAACTTGATGACCTTCGCAGGCTTTTCCCACCGCCATCAAACGTCACAGGCACGCGGGAGTATGATATGCCTTTGTCTGTGCTTGTTCTTATTCGGGGAGGCACTAATAGCTCTATCGGTACGCATGCCGAATGGCTTGAAGATGGCCATATAAGTATCGGAGCTTTTGCGGTCTTTGAAATACCTATAAAGGACGAAAATGACGAGCTTGACTTCAGTATCTCGTTCGGGGAACCCGTTGTGACTAGATGCTCCTTTTGGTTCTGCATGCAAGGTATTCCTGCAAATGTTGATTCGGGGAGACCCAGGCAAACAGTGGCATCCACCGAAAGGGCCTCGTATGCGACAACTTTGGATTCGTGGCGTGGCATGGTTACCACAGAACCATTGGGAGGGACTTTCAGCGACGTCCCCGATTTCAATATGAAGGGACGCAATTTCTCCGTAACACCCTTGAACCCCAGCTCTCCAGGGCAGCAAGAATCTTCCACTATTTCGACATCCTCTGTGTTTGGCGACACTCCAATGAAGTACATTAGTTTTACCTGGTGGTCGAAACCTCAAGGACCAGCAAACCTCGAGACTCCTCCTCCCCGTAACGCTCCCCTCTTCTTTCGAGCGTGGGAATACACAGCAAACGATCGCTCGGCATGGGCCAACAGAATCGCCAAGAGCTTAACGAACATAATACACCTGCAGAGCCAGCCGGACCCCAAAGACGATGTCTATGCCGGAAACGCCTGGATTCAACAGACATACATCAAAGTGTCTTGGCCATGGATCGCATACCCGATCGCAGTGCTTCTAGCTAGCTTACTCCTTTTCGCTGGTAACATATACAGGTCTTCGAGCCCTAACCAGAGGATTTGGGGCACGGGGATGTTGGCCCTGCTAATTTCCGATATTGACAGGTCTATCAAAGACCAGGCCAGAGGATCCTCCTGTCGTTCGAACGACGAGCTGATAGAAGCTACGGGACATGCTGTAGTTCGTTTGGAGGACGACGAGTCGGGGTGGGTATTTCGACACGACAAAGATTCTAAATAGGTACTCGGCGTCAAGGGTACTGGGAGCATTGGCCAATTCTGATCTCCTTTTCGGCATGAAAATAGTTGTCTTATGTTATTAGAAAGCTTAAGAGGTAGTTACTGTTAGAGATTCCATGATGGGTGTCATGCATAGAGTGAGTACTAGGAACAATACCTTACCTTAACTAGGTAGGTACCTAAGATAGGAGGTAGCTATGTGGTAGAAGTGATCTATTAACGCTTGTCTTTCTGCTTTCTTTCGATGGCTCTATGAGCCCTTTATCCAGCTTCCTTATAGATCTATCTATAAACCAGACTAGCCATATATACTAGCCATGACGGATACTTGCTACTGTCTCTAGTATTCACTTTACGTACGGCATACATTACGTGATCTCTGATAATAACATTGAAACTAGTCTAAAGATAAAGTTCGATATAACTTCCCACAAGTCATCATTCAGTTCGACATGGTACTTCTTATCACCACGGTATTTCCTTGCCGTCTATAGCATTGATAAACTTTCCAGAGGTATTCTCACGACTGGCGTTGCCAATCTAGCTCAGTTAGGGCCCAGGGGGGTGGCTTGTGTAAAAGTAATAGAATTGGCACACATACCAGGCTTATGATTTTCTCAGGGCTAATACAATTTAGTATAAGTTGGCTTCTCTAGCCTTAGGTACATTTGTTACCACAGTGCGCCGCCATATAATAAGTTAGCTACCATCTATATGTCGCCATCCTATGCGTTGGTATAGGAACTAGTCCAAATCTTAAGATAGGAGGACGTACCGAGTAATCCGATTAATAAGAGCAGCTTTCGAAGTGCAATACGCCGGCGCAACGTGCGAGTGGAAAAGTTCCATAGCGCTAATAGAGCCAGCAGCACTACTAATAGGCACGAATTTAGCATTGCCAGATCTACACGCTTCTCATCCCCAAACGCGGAACTCCCGATCTTAACTAGGAGTAGTTTGGATCCGCTGTCTGTAGGTGATGCCTTCAACTCCGAAAACGCCAGACGAATCCTCATCACAGATGGTCCCCATCACCGTACAGTTTGGCCGTGAGAGGTAGACCTGAGCCAAGGTGTTTCCAAGACCTGATGTCCTTATTTACTCAACCGTCACGATAAGAATGCGTCAACTTACCTCTACCAGCCCCGGTAACGAATACTACGAGCTAGTTGTCCATCTTGGTTACGTTTAGCCTTATTACAACATGTAGCCGTATTTATGTAAATAATCAGCAATAAATGCAAGCTACTCTGTTACATAGGTTGTTGATCGGGTATAGAAATGGGGTTGAGGAAGAGGAATCCCAAGCATATTTCTTCGTACCTAGCTTGGGTAGGATGGTGGGCACTACTCTTGGCATACTTCTATTGATTACATTGAATGTCTTATTTATTTAATCTAATGGGAAAGTTATTTCAGTTAAATATCAGCCTTGTTGTCGACGTCAAGTTAAGATGTTTTGCCTTGGTTACCGACGCTGGTATTTTATCACTCGAGGTTTAATGCCCCTGAGTGTTGAAATGAGCGGTCAAGGGACTTATGTTAGATAGAATGTAGTAGAAATTGTGCTATTAAGAAATACACTTTTGGCTCAGCAGTGTGTCTTTGACAACTACCTTCAGGTACAATTACATGATGTCTTGGCGTAGAATGGATATACCTATAAGAAATCTCTACACGCAGCCCCCAAATATCAATGGCCATCAGCAGGTGGCGAAGAAGAAAAATAAAGTCTACCTACCTACTTGGTAATTTCAATCTCAAGTCACGGGCCGAGCCTCACAGAGCATGTAGTTCCAACTTAACAATAGGCAACACTTGGCTTGTTTCTCTTCCCAACTTATACCTTGCTGAGGCAGAGTTTTAACTGTTGGTATCATGTTAATGGTTAAAATTTCAAGGCCTATGTTTCATGAGAATTGTCACGAAGCCAACCCTGCAATAAGAAAACAATAACGCTGTCATGTAAATTATGAACTTGACCCCTACCAAACTCCCAAGTAGGTATACAGAAAACGAGGTCAAAGGGACAATTCCTATTGTATCTCTGGCCTATGCACCGTTAGACCTGTACAATACCTAAGTCCCTTCACATCCTAGTCCTAACATCGCGCCTAACACCGTAATAGACCGCACAGCGCACCCGTCCCACATTTCCCTCATGCAAGGGAGACGAATAAGAAATCGTGATCTTGAAAAAAAAGAAATTGCAAGGTCACAAGATGCAGGTTTTATAATGCCTGAGATCCAAACTCCCGGGACGCGTAGGAAGCCAGCTCCCATGTCTCCGCCGTCATCAATACCCAATTAGCGTCCTCATAGGGCTATTCGAAGCCATGCCAATCGTGATATTACGCTGTGCGCTGTCGGTTGGGCACACGCTAGGCGCCTTATTCACTCGTGAAGCTCAGCTAGGAGCGGAGGACCCTGGTATTGACCGATATTCCGATGGCCCCCTGGTAGTTCATGCAGTCCGGTTTGAGAACCGTGTAACTCATGCTTGGCCAGAGCCTTCCCATGGAGCTCTTGCAATGTCTGCTGTGAAAGCATTCCACCGTCGCCATGTTGGTTGACTTGAGATACCTCCGCGAGGCCCTTCCGTTTCCGTCTTCTCATTAGGAAGAAAGTGACTAGCAAGGCTATTATTCCAACTACACCAAACCCGACCCCTAGTCCAATGCCTGCGGCCACCCCCGGACTCATTTGAGATGAGTCGCTCGAGGACGGCGAGGGGCTTAGCGGCGAAGAAGATGTAGAGGTGAATTCGGATGCTGGTGTAGAATTTAAAGAGGGTGTAGAATTGGAAGAGGGCGTAGAATTTGAAGAAGGTGTAGAATTGGCAGAGGGTGTAACTGATTTCGGCAAATCGTCTACTGTTGTTGGTTTTGCTAACTCGATGTTCCAGCCAAGAATCGCAATCGCCCCCACTGTTGAGCTTTCCGTTAGACTTGTTGTCTCTGTATTCCAGATATCCGAGTTGGCCGTTGACGTCGACGCGTAAGTCAATCGCATACCCTTCGATACGTCTGACAGGCAGTCTCCAACAACAGAGCCTGGGATACCATTGTGTAGGTAGTAACCTCTAAATACGAACGGCTCAGCAGCGGTTTTATAAATATAGATTTAAGGTGAAGGTATGAGCAAACGTACGAGGGACAGCACATAGCAAGTGTACTTGATCCATCTTTGACCGAAGTGGCCACTGTCTGCCATTCGTAGGGGCATGTCAACGGCCCCAGGCTGAGGGCAGTATGGCCATCGTCGTTTGCTCCTAGCCGACCTTGTTCCCACCATGTGGTTACAGCAGATGGCAAGCAACGCACATTATCATCAATATCTAATCCGTATCCGGGATCGAAAGCCACAAGGCTGGGTCCATTGAGTCGGAAGTAATCGCTGCATTTAGTTGATGGTGTGAATAAAGTCGCAAGAGGAACGAAAGAGGTGACCACGCCATCACTAGTGACGGCTGGATATACCATTGTCATGGTGTCTTCATTCAAGATCTATAAAGTTTATGCTTATTAAGAAAATATAAATATCTATAAGGTGCCTTCAACCGTAAGAGGAAGAGATCCATTGTCTATATAGTTTCTAGGCCACCAGGGGCATCAAACGCCAACCTACATTTTCAAATGGCGCTATATATGTGAGAAGCGCCGGATATCGAATTCCCATTAACCCGCATTATACTCACAAGCCACAGGATGCTACCATAGGCGTAAACGCAATCAAGGGATAGATGACCCTGGGGCAAACTGCGTCCGCTTCAAGGTAAAGACATTCCCGCATTGGCTGCCAGCCTGTCATTGCAGGGGTACGGAATTTTTCCTGGTCACATTTCTTTTCTCACAGTCCATTCCTTCCTATATTGCTTCCCGCTGCTTTACTATATACTACCTAGCTCCTATGTTGCTGCATATTTCTCCTCTCTTCAAACGTTGCCTAACCTCTCCAGCGAACAGAAAAGTATGCCAGCTCGAAAAAAGCACTCGACTGCCCGTCGTAACTCAAAACATCCTCATTCCTTATCGTTCTCAAAATCCTTCTCTAAGGTCCAAGCTATATCGATCTTAGCTCTGTCCTTTGGATTAGCCCTGTTTAAATGGACGGGTGATAATCCTATCGGACTTAATCATTATGCTGGGAACTATGTGAACTGGGATATTCGACGAGAAAAAGTGAAAAATGCTTTCGTCACCAGCTGGGATGCGTATTCCGCCAATGCCTGGGGTTAGTTGACGATTTGAAGTCTAGCAACAGGTTGTATTGACTCTATACGAAACCAGGTTACGATAGGTACCATCCTATCTCGGAAAAGGGTTCCCAGATGAGCCCCGGCGGATTGGGATGGATTATAGTCGATAGCCTTGACACAATCATGCTCATGAACCTTACCGACCGTTTAGTTGAACCTCGGAAATGGCTGCAGCGCAAGCTCAACTACGACCAGGACCAAGACGTAAACACATTCGAGACGACTATCCGCATGCTTGGAGGACTATTGTCCGCGCACTACCTGAGTACGAAGCTGCCCTATGCTGCATCTCGTAGAGATTCCGTATATCTGTCCAAGGCAGTGGAACTGGCTGACAGATTGCTACCGGCCTACGAATCACGCTCCGGTATTCCTTATGCTAGCGTGCATCTATCTAAAGCGAAGGGTGTCGTGTCCCATGCAGACGGGGGGTCATCGTCTACTGCTGAGGCTGGCACACTTCAGCTCGAGATGAAGTATCTTTCTTACCTAACGGGGAATGATACTTATTGGCGGAAAGCTGAAAGAGTCATGAAGGTTCTCGATGACAATCACGCTGAAGACGGCCTTGTCCCTATTTTCGTACATCCGGAATCAGGAAGGTTTACTTCGAGAGAAATTCGGCTCGGGAGTCGAGGCGACTCATATTACGGTTTGACTTCTCGCAATATTACAATGTAGCGAGGCTTTGCTGACATAGTTACTCAAGAATACTTAGTCAAACAATTTCTACAAACCTCCGGGCAGGAGCCTGTTTACCAAGAGATGTGGGAAGAGGCCTTGGAAGGGATTCAAAAACACCTTATCACGACTACCAAGAATTCAGGCCTCAAGTTCGTCGCCGAACTCCCGCAAGGAATCGACGGGCCACTGTCGCCTAAGATGGATCACCTTGTCTGCTTCTTACCCGGATCGATTGCTCTCGGCGCCACCCGGGGTCATACCCTATCCGAGGCACGCACGTGGGCCAGCTGGGACGAGAAAAAGGAGGAACAAATCCAGCTCGCGCGCGATCTGATGAAGACATGCTGGGGTATGTACGTTGTGACGGAGACAGGTCTTGCGCCTGAGATTGCATGGTTCCACGCTGAGGAGGAGGACCTTCGGCCGGCACCTGGCGACCGACCCCTAGCGCCCACGAGGAATTCGTTGGCGGCGTGGAAGAAGGACTACATCGTGAAACCGCTGGACGCGCACAACTTGCAACGACCGGAGACCGTCGAAAGTCTGTTCATGATGTGGCGTATCACCGAAGACCCCGTCTATCGCGAATGGGGCTGGAAGATATTCGACGCGTTCGAGAAGCATACCAAGCTAAGCCAACACCAGGGCTACACTTCTGTGGACAATGTGAACGCCGTCCCGCCACCTCCGAGAGACAATATGGAAAGCTTTTGGCTGGTAAGTTATCACAACACAACATCTAGCATCATGACCGTCTCCGCTTGTCTTCCTCCAAAATACGAGCTTACATTGTATGGTTTTCCAGGCAGAAACTCTGAAATATCTATATCTCCTATTCAGCCCTAGCGACTTCATTCCTCTCACTGAAGTTGTATTCAATACCGAGGCACACATTTTTCCAGTTCTTGATAAAGCCAAGTGGCAAACGGGATGGAGTAGAGGTTGACAAACCTTGTAACGGTAAATTTTTACACTCTGCCAAGTCAACGACAAGAATATGCATGATTTTGATATCCTTTTTTATAACCGGCCAGGTCTTCGGAAGGGTAGATGGACTGCTCTTATATTAAACGCTAGGATAGAATATTTCAGAGTACATATGTGGGCATTAGGATATAGGTACCTCCTAAACTACAAAGACAGGCAGGCTCCTCTCTACCTCTTATACCAGAATTTGTGCTTGAGATAAAACATAATGCGGGAAAACACACCTCCGCTCCTTGATGCACTTTTGTGGGTAATGGGATCTAGGTAGCCGGGCGCTGTCCATGTCATCCACAAACTTAACCAAATGAAGCTGAAGCAACTCTGCACGAACCGCGGTAGTAGGTCCACGCCCAGCATAGAGTGGATTATCTCTTCAATCACAATCAAAATGCCCAGCGGCTGGATTGAGAAGAAGCGTAGTGCCCCAGATTCAAAAACCGGTATTCCTATATTCGCAGCTTTTAGTCACGACCCTCTGAATACCTCACTGATATTTGCAGTAACATACCTAACGAAAAGTCAATGGCAGCATATATGATACCAGATATCGCGAATTTCAAAAATATTCGTATATATCGAACCAGTCTGCCACTTCTTTGTAGCCCGAAGATGCTATGCATCAAGTAATTTACTAATGCATTCAACGAGTGACTATCCGTCCGAAGCCAGAACATACTAGATACTGATCAGCTCAGCAACAAAAAGCTCATGACTTACACCACACACCTCCAAAAGTGTCTCACGCCAAAAGACGTCAAAATAGGCCCGTTAAAGGGGGGCCAGCCCAATGGGGAACCAAGCCCTGTAGCCACATTTATAAAGGCTGTAATCGCGTATACTCCATGCTGGAATGATAGGAGACCCAGACCGAGTTGGACGGCGGCAAGATATCTCGTTACAAGCTCCTTAAGCGAGATCTCTCCAACCGTAGATATTAATTTGACTTTATCTAGGGAATAAAACTTCTTTGTAAAAACGCCGGCTCGAAAAGAACATGCTGCATATAGTGTTAAATAGCAAATAATTATGGTCAAGCCAGTGTGGAAGAGAAAGCGACAGCGTGAATACAAAGAAGTTTTGTCTAGCCTGAGCGCGGTCCTGCTCTGGTACGATGTATTCACGAAACGCCACAAGAGGAAAGTTGAGAGGCCGAACTTCAAGCGGGATAGTATCTGCAATTGACGTGATCCTCTCGATTTTGAGTAAGACTTTGAATTTCCTAGTCTTCTATTTCGGTTGATTAAATCATTGATAGGGCCGTGAGCTTCGAAGCTCCATCCACTAAGTAAGGCAACGTCTAAGTAATGCAAAAACGAAAAAATCGTATAACCTCCTAAAGTTGATGCCCAGATTCCTTTGGTGATATGTTCATGGCAGACCGAAAGACAATGGAATGTGAAATAGGCCAAGATAAATAAGGAGACAAGCCGTGAGGATGATGAAGGGGACGTAAACCCGATAGTGACTGACGCAAGTAGTGCAATTGCGATGGTATCAAGAATAGGATGATAATCCATCTTGGGACACCAAGGGTTGAATTAAATAGTTAAAATTCCAGGAGGCGGAGGTGGAGAGTGGTGAGTTAGTGAAAGTCCGGGTGTTGAGGCAAAGCAGGATGACTTTCAAAAAAAAAAAGGGGGGTGCTTAGTATTAGGTAAGGTACCGCTTTCGGCTTTTGCCATTCATAAGGAGAAAAAAGGTTCATACAACGCCTAGTTGGACAATGCGATTGTAAATTTGCATATGAGGTACCTTAGGTACCTGTAATTTTGTTTAATTGAGATCAAGATTTTGTACTTACTTCCTTAGGTGAGTGAGATTACCTAACCTACCTTAAAGGTGTTGTACCCAAGGTAGCCACAGCCGTATCAAAATTCAAAGGCGCATATAATTGACGGAAGGAACCTTGATAGGAAAGCGTATTATGAGATCTGGAAAGGAAAGCCAAGGCTAAAGTTTGTTGCTCGTTAGGAGGTAGGTAACTTAGGTGTATCCAGGTAAACTTGCATAAATTAAACCTTCTCTCCTCAATCTAAGAAACCTTTTTTTTTCATGCTCGCATCAGAATTTCGTATAGGCATCTAAGATATAATTAGTTGATAATCAAACTGCAAACCAACTACGTTATTGAACAGCTTGATGTCAAATTAGGAGATTTGTGTTTGAAAGGCTTAGGAACTCTGACGCTCCTATCATCTTGATCGTCTTCCCAGCAAAAACAATACAATCCTCTCAAGCTATGGACTCGAGCACTAGGCATACGGTGATTCTTGATCTCTCTAACGAGTTACTCGGAATGATATTCGAGGAGCTCAAGGCTTCTCTTCGGGGTTCCAACGACGAGAAAACGCACATCGAAAGGACTCGGGCTATCGGCAACGTGCGTCTCACTTGCCAGAGATTCTGTAGCACTAGCTCCCATATACTCCTAGATACTGTCACTGTCGAAATGAACCTACTTTCGGTCCGACGATTTCTGGATATGTCGCAGCAACCCCTCATAGCACACGGAGTGCGGACAATACGTGTCCTACTACACTACTATGATCGAGCCCTAGCAGAAAGCTTACAAATTTACGGATTTCATAACGCGTTGAAAATACACGATGTCCAGATTGTTTACCCCTCGAGAGCCCGCGATGAAATAGAGAGAGAAATACGGATACAAGAGAGGTATGAAACAGATCGGCGATTAGTGAACATACAGATAGGGCAACTTAACTACGGCTCATTCGAACGCATGCTTCGATCAGCTCACGATATTTACCGATCTTTTTATGAAGAACAGGAATATCTTCAAAAACAAAAACTTTTTAGTTACTGTATAACCCGTGGAATAGCCAGAATGTCTGGTGTTCGGGAACTGGAATTCTGTGACGGCAAGATTCACATGCCTTCCATCCGCAACATGAGAAGACCTGACAAAATGCTACAAATGATGATCGCCCCACATACATGGTTTGAATCTGTTTACCATGGACTGAAATCGCCACCATCTGAAGTCATTGTCGATTTACCACTCATTCTTGGCGAAATTGGGGTCCAGCTCCCTAGCCTCCGGATCGAAGTTCTATTGAATAAGTCAAACTTGGGCGAATTAAACCAGAAGTTCTTAACCAACTTGGCGGCTACAATGACAAATCTTAAGAATTTCGCATGTATTCAAAAGCCCGAGCATCGTTACGACAGGCGAGCCCCAACGCCATTATCAATACCTGGTTACGTACGCGCCATGTTAGATGGTTCAAATATTGAAGAGATCCATCTATACAACTACCCGAAGGGAGGAGGGTGTACTTTCGATTCTATACCACAAATATATTGGCCAAATCTGAAGAGAGTACGATTGGGAAGGGCTCATTTCCACTCAACATGTCTATGCCGGTTTTTACATGGCTGCAATCCGGTCGTTTTCAAGCACCTGCATATTCGGGAGATGATACTTTTGGACGGCACTTGGGCTGAGACTCTAGATATTCTACGGAGATCTAATTTGGTTCATGTCACTATCTACCGTCCTTTGGGCGGAGAGTCCTCAGCTCTGAGTATAAAGAAGAGGAAGGAGTTTAACGAGTTGTTCAGGACCGACACGAGTGGCCTAAGCAAGGCCACGAAGTACATACAGGGGTTAGCTACTGATAACCCGGTTATGGAAGTGGTTTAAGGTTCGCTGGACAAGCAGGACTTCCTGCCCAACCGCGTAGTCTAGAGGGGCTCAGATATTGTATCGCTAGGTGACCCTAAAAAAAGGAGGCGTTGTTAATGGCTATATTATGTTAGGTAGAGCTGCGTCGATACTACCCAATTCAAGCCATTATTATTACGGCAGGACATTTTGATAGGAATATTACCACTGGTTTATAGCGCATCTTTAAAGCACCTGTATACAAACTCCCAGCTACCTAGAGAAAAACAGGTAGTGGCATACCTCACCAGGCTATCAGAATCGTTATGATTAATATATTAGACGCTGGACTCACGCGTCGTAACTATTTACCGGGCTTCTCTCGTAGAGCAAAAAAAACAACCTCTATCGTTCTAGATAGACAATGGCCCTTACATCTCGCCGCACTGAGCAATGACCACGTCCATGTCTGGTATGTCCCGTCCACGCCTACCAGTCTTCGTCTTTTCGATCTTCTCGACGACATCCATACCGTCGACGACTTTACCAAAGACTACATGCTTCCCGTCAAGGTGCGGAGTTGGCACCGTAGTAATGAAGAATTGAGACCCATTGGTGTTCGGGCCCGAATTCTGATATGTACCTGTTAGTACGGACACGGGACAATGAGACAAAAAAAGGAGGACATACAGCCATGGAGAGGAGGCCCTTCTGGGTGTGTTTCAAGTCAAAGTTTTCATCTTGAAACTGCTTGGTGCCGTAGATACACTACAGGGGAAAGTTAGCATTTGTATCTATCGTCATCGTCTTCCTAGCAAACTTACAGTACTGCCAGTGCCATCGCCGTTGAGAAAGTCTCCGCCCTGGATCATGAAATTGCTAATCTACGGACCATTAGTGTACCTATAGCTATCTTGATAACAGCTGCGAAAACATACAACTCTGTGGAATTTGCTTCCTTTATAGCCCTGACTTTGACCTCGACTGTTCTTGGACTCGCCGGTGCAGAACTGGCGGAAGTTCTCCGCGGTGCGAGGGACGGTGTCCTTGAAGAGCTCAAAGGTGATTCGTCCGAGAGGCTCACCTGTTACTCATTAGAGTACGTTACAATGTATGTAGGAAGAAACACTATTATGAGGAGAGCCTAGTAACACCATACGAGTATCTCATATGAGCATCTCATATGAGGTAGACTATAGTGTCACGTGACGCCTTCCAAGACCGCGACAAGAATATAAAATTCTTAGCTCTCCTGGTGTGGCGAAAATAGATTCGGAAACGCTTACCTCCGAGCGTGATGTCAAAGAAAACCCTAGCGATTCCAATCTGGTCAGCAGGGCCAGCTCCGGAAGGCCGGGGGTACGGGCTGACGAGGCCCTAGGTACTAAGCCACACAAGCGGGAGAAAGAAAAAAAAAGAAAAAACATTGAATGGCTTTTGAACTTACAAAGGATTTCCGGAAGCCGGAAGCTGAGTTGGCGCCATCGGGCAACGCAGGGGAGAAGGTGGAAAATGAGGTGATAGGCAAGTTCGGGGTGATATACTACTTGGGTGGTACCTATCTCAGTAAGCTTAGATACGTAGCTGAATGATAGGTACCTACGTAGGTAGGTAGGTAGATGTACGGTTTATTAGATGGGCGGAGTTGAGAAAAGAGCTCGGGTCCGGGTGGACGGTAAACGGTGGTAAAACTCGGAGGAGTTGTAGAACTGCTAGATAACGTACGTAGTATGTAAACCGTAGAAAGAATAGCGCTTGCCCTCCGTTTAGGGACCTCCAGTATCCAGTCAGCTGCCACGATCGACTGTACATGCATTACCTTGTAAGGTATCCATAACAAAAGACTTTGTGGTCGCGGGGCTAGTGGGACCCAAAGCGGATTCCACTGGGTTAGTGGGGGGCTTTGGTATCAACCCTCTGGGTACCTCTAAACTTCCGTAATCTCTTCTCCCTAGCATGTGCGTAACTAATAACTAATATCTCTAAAACACGACCATAGCTCCTCAAACCTTATTCACTATACTCATAACTATTCAAATTATAAAAATTCAAACACAAGGAACCTTTATTCGCCGTGACTCGTGGATTCAAGCAGCTAGGTACCTAGATATCCTGCATTACCTAGTTCCTCGAAAAGATCGACATTAATCATCCGTTGTTCAAGATGACCTCATGGATGCCCCCATACGGCCTTAATAGACCAATGCGATTGTTCCCCAGTCCAACCTTTTACTGGTACTTACAACACTATGCATATAATTACTATTACTATAGAAAAGTCACCGTTTATCAGTGAATGAAACTTGACGGAATTTACTTTACGGAATCGTAGGAAAACGGTACTAACAGACCCGAAAGAGAAGTTAAACTAACTAACAAGGCTTATTCTAATCAATTGCTTCAAATGCATACTTACACATGTCCTTGGCACTTCTGATCAGCCTTATTGCTTTTCTGCTGCTACCCTACCTGCTATTGGTTCAGCCGTTGACAAATATATACGCGATACATATGTACACTTAGTACGAATCAGCCAGTCATAACAAGTTCTGGGTACCAAGCAAAAGGCAATGTCAAACCGAGCTATCCGAATGGCTTCGTACATGCCCCCTATATGGGAACGAGGTAGGGGCATAACAAAGCGATAGTCGGCGAGGTCCCAAGGGGCTGAGCCATATTGCTAAGAGAGTATTTGAAATAAATGCCTCTAACATCTAACAGTAACCGAAATCTCAAAGACACTCGTTTAGATGTTTCGTTTGTCTTATTTTGCCAACCCAATCATATCTAATAACACCTAGAGTAGCTGGCTTAACTCATGTAGACAGAAAGGGGAATATGTGTTTGAGGTTTGCTCGGATACTACTGTATCACAGCAGCCGCAAATCTGATCGGTGCAATAAAGATGGCCGAGAATTGCTAGAACAGCATTTATCGCGTTGCCCTCTAACAACTGACAACCACCGAAGCAGCAACATGCTACCGACTCATGCCAAAGTTAAAAACCTTTTTGGCGTCCGCTATTTGAGTTAAGCAACCTAGCGGCTGAGCCTGGAACTTTGAACGAAGTTAGGGGGGTAGCGTGAACACGTAATTCGTGCATCTTCTTGACGCAGTGTTTTGATCATTCCGAACGTCTGTGGGCAAAGCGATGAGGTATCGGCGAATTCTAACTGGGAGAGCAAAAGCCCGATAAACTACCTGTTTTCCTTATCGTCGTTGGATGCGATGTAGCCTGTCCATATCTTCCCTTTGAGAAGGGGGGCGGGGGCGTATTCTTACTGTATCGTCGTGGTATCATTTATCATTCTCGAATGCATGACCTTGGACTGTCTGCCACGATTACGTAGCATCGAATGTTCTTAGATACATGAGATAGATCTATATTTCCTTAATTTAGATTCCGATATTCCGCTAAGGGAAAAAAAGGCAGTCGTGGGATCCCGAAGGTCGACGGACGCATGCAGCTTCATCTGTGATTTGAATTTCTGATTTGATATGAGGTACCTACTTTATCTACCTACCTAAGTAGGTATCTTATGTATCCAACATAATCCAGCTAGTGTAGGCGTGGCTGTTCATATTCTGTTTTATGCAGTATCACGCTAATAACACACGACGATAGCCCCTTTTCGCCTTAGGGTCTTGAGAAGCACCTACCTACGCCGTACTAGTCTAGACAAGATGGGTGTATCGTATATCAGCCTATATCTTAAGCGCTCGTCTAGCATCTCCCTGGTGATCTGGATTATCTACGCAACCAACAACAACATGTTTTGGAATGTGAGATCCGTACGTCCCGATATATAGGGAAATTGAAAGTCGCCACAATTACCGAATTCGTAGAGTTTGAAGAGGCTTGCATTTAATATGATATTGTAAACGATGGTATTCTATTTGACCGTTTTGATGCCGTTCGTTTTAAAATTCAACTTTAGTACGCACAGATCCGTAGATTGTTCCAGTAAATTGTGCCCAATGACATTCTGAACCTCACTAAAAAACCCTGGACCGCTGCAAGTCACATTGCCGATCTTTAGTCCTGTACTCTCCCACCTTGATTACTGTAAACGGTTCATGATGTAATAAAGCGACATACGTACTAGTTATCTATTACTCTATTATCTTGATTAGGTATTTTAAGAAATATGGCCTATTCTTTTTTCATAAAGTCTTGTAGTTATTTACTTAAATTATCGTTGTCAGACGTACTGCGCTTGATTGTATATATTATACACCTTATACTCATGTACCTTTGGTAGGTACCTCTTTTTGACAAATATTGGATGACGGTTTTGAACACGATACTCTAAAATCAGGAGCCGAAACGGGTCTACCAGAGCTGCGTCTCTGTTTCCTTCTCTGGCTTAGGCCTAGGTGGAACTAGCCTTTGATTGGGTAATTGCGGTTCCACCGCCACCTATCAGCGAAACCGAAGCGTTAAAAACCGCCCCAGCAACAGAGCCCAGCCCTTCTATCCTTCCAGCCCCGACAAGGACCGTCTGCAGCGCTTGCAGTGGCCTGCAGTATCCGTCTGTCACTTCCTAGGAATACTTCTATCTCAAAAATTGGCTTGTCTGGGATGCTTTCGCAGCTGCAAGTTTATTACATTATCACAGGATCTGACAGAACTAAAACAAGTCAGACTTTCTCTTCTACCACCCAAAATCCTTCCTTCTTATGCGCTTCTCCATCCACCAAACTTCCCTAATCCTTTTTATGTTCATATGGTCGCACCTCTTTCTCCACCCTTTTTTTCCCTTGGCTGAAGGCCTAAACTAATAACGTACACTATTCATTCTACTACTATTCCACTATTTTTAATCCTTTGCCAACTTCCAACTTCCACCCGTACCTTGGCATTCCCGCCCGTGGATATTGCGACGATCGGCATCATTTACTATTTCGCTATTTTCTTTTTTTCTTTTTTCTTTTTCCTTCTCGAAGGTATAATCGCAAAAGAAAAAAAAAGCAGAGAAAAAGAGAGAAAAAAAAAAGAGAAAATAATAAGGACGTAGATCGTGGTTCAATTCAATTCCCCCACAACGCTTTGATAGTAAATGGCATCTCTGATTAGGATACGATCGCTTTGAAACGATTCTTCGTCGAGGCCTTTTGCCAATGACTCCCTCGCTTGACGATTAATCGACCGTTACGATATCTGTTTCCAATTGTAATCCTCTCATTTACGAAAATGGCCGATTTCAATCAGGCCTTGGCGGGCGGCGCTCATTTTGTCGCAAGAGCGATTGAATACCAAGTTCGACAGGCCACTTCGTCAACTTCGCCAACTCCGTCAGCGGACTCGACGTTCTCGACCTTTACTTCTACGCCTACCACCCTTACGCCATCTGCAGCCTCGCCGCCCCCGACTGCAGAGCCTTCTGCCGGTGGCAGCAACAATGGTGATAATAATGGTGGCCAGTCAACTAATTCCCCTCTGCTATTCTTTGTAGCCTTGGGATTTGGTGTTGTTTTTACCAACCTTTGGTGAGCCATATATAGCGACATAACCACCGGCCGCGGTTTTATGATCTAATTTTTATTATAGGATTATCGTTGGTGTAAAATACTGCTTTCGGTATAACGCACGCAACCGACAGTTAAGAGGATTGGATGAAAATGGAGAACCTATTAATTTGGAGAACATGCCCGCGAGGCCCCATCGTCGACGCCGAGAAAAGAAGCTTATGACGATGGATGAAGTCAATGATAAATTTCCGATGATGAAATACAAAGCCTGGGTCTTAGCACGTGCAAACGAAGGTCTGCCAACTACCGGTGGTGTCTCTGCGCCGCCCAGCCGCGCCAACAGCGTAAGGAGTATTGAAGGCATCGTGCCAGAAATATCTTCTAAGGAACAAGATTCAAACGACGATCATGCCGACCCCAGCGTTGTTCCGAAATCTACGAATCGAGAAAGGTCCCACTCCGCCCATGATAGTCAAGACACCACAACCGACGGTAACGTAACGAGTGACAACGCGCTTACTCATGCGCAAACCGCCGAAAGCATAATAATGAAAGAACATGATCATCGCGGAAGTATGGACGATGATGACGAGGATGATGAACATATAGATGCGGCTCTGCCTCCCGAGCTAGTGGGTACTCAGGGCGATACATGCGCAATCTGCATCGACACGCTTGAAGATAACGACGATATTCGTGGATTAACGTGTGGCCACGCCTTCCACGCCGTTTGTATTGATCCATGGTTGACCAACCGGAGAGCGTCATGTCCTTTGTGCAAGGCAGATTACTATACACCCAAGCCACGGGCGCCTCCTGCAGATGGTGATCCGGCAAATCCCACGTCTCCTAACGCCGACCCATCCCGAAACAATGGCCGAATGAACATGCCAAGGTCTCCGCAGCGCACGTTCACGTCATGGAGCAATTTCCGGGGGACTCCGCGTGGTATGATTGCGGGTCGCTTCGGAGGTGTCGGTACGGATTCGGCAAGTTACAACCGGCACCCGCGGATATGGGAGAGAAATCGCTCAGAACACCCACGACATCGTCATCATCATCGTAACTTTCAGCCCGAGCCTCAATTACCTGCAACAGAGAGCGCCGGTATATTTTCAAGAGTTCGTGGCCATTTCCTGCCACTCCGATTGAATGGTCTGATGCGGAGGGACCCTAACGGACAAGCCCCCGATGCAAGCGGGGTGTCAGCTTCTGGTGCCAACGGCGGGGCAAACACCACGCCGTCACAATTAGAAGCAGGTGTACGACCGCCTGCAAATGCGGTCAACTGAGAGATTTCAGTGTCCATAGACAACGGCTTAATGGAAGGAATATATAAATATTGCATTGTTTCAAGGTCTTTTCAAACATATCCTGTATACGACGTCGCGAAATGAGTCCCGCATACCCCTGTATTTGTCAGAAGTTTCTTTTTTCCAGCGACCGCATCTAGCCGCCAAATAGTCCGTACATCGTTCAACTTACCTACCGAGTCGGAGAGTCACCGTTGCCATTCGATAGAAATCGAAGGGTACGAAACTGTCCATCCTTGAGAAGTTCCCGTTACGGATTTGGGGGAAATCAGTGACGGTCATCATTCTAGGTTTTGTTTTAAGGTCGAGCCCGGCCGACACCCCGAACCTTCGGGGGCGAAGGACCGGAAAATATGGTCAGGCGTCGCAATGCATTTGTTGGCGGAGTAAGCGGTGTTCCGAGGTATTCTCAGTATTAGCGGCGGGTTTTCTTCATCCTTTTGGGCGGGTTTAGTTAAAGGCAGATACATTAGGTACGTATCGTATCGCCATGAGGAAGTAAGAGGGTTCGTTATTCTCTCTCTCTTTTTTTCAGTGTTCTCCGGGGCCAAAGGAGTATAGCAGAGGAGGGGAGTACTGTCGACATAGGAGGAGTTGTTGTGTGAGCCTTATATCTACCTATCTACCTACCTACCTACCTACCTCTATGTTAGCCGGTAAACGAGTAGGCTAGGGGGAGAGCGACTCTGGAACACAGAATGCGATAAATGAATTATATCCATATTCATATGCATGTTCATATTCATGTTTATATCCATTGCAGGTGATCAGACTTTGAGTGTATAGGTATGTGTGGTATCATATTCTTGTAATATAAGCTACCTAGTTAGGCCCAAATGCAATTCTATATACGAAATTTCTCGCGATTGTCGGCCTCTTGTTTGGGGGTTATGGGTATCTCTATAATTAGGTAACTTTTCACAATTTTCTACCCCTACTCTCCATCTTCAGTCCCGTTCACCATTTTCCTCTCCCCTATGGCTAATTCAATACTGTACACACTCAAGTGCCTGGTATGTAAGGTACCTCCTAATGTACCTCAGGTAGTATAAACAGCCAGAACCCTTCCCCAGGTACATTAGGTTAGGTACCTCAGGTACCTAGGGTAGGGTCAGAGGTATTTCCCCTTGGCGAACCTGCCGCCGAAATCCGCGGCGCGGTTGAGCAGCTCACGGCGCTGGGCGGAGCCGATGCGGCCGCCGAGCTTCATGTCCTTCTCGCGGTCGAAGGCGCGCCGGCTCGGGTCGTCCTCCTCCTCGTCGGCGCGCAGCTCGCGCCCCCGCCGCGACGCCCGGTGCTCCTCGTACAGGCTGCGGCCGCGCGTCGCCTCCGTGTAGCTGCGCACGCGCTCCTGCTGCTCGAGGGCTTCTTTCGACGGCGGGGCGTCTGCACTATTATTACCACTACCATTTCCACTGGTTCCGCTCATGGTCCGCATCTGACTGCTGCTGCTGTCGTCGCCGCGCCCGAGAACGGCGTTCTCCAGACGCTTGCGCTTTTGCTCCGGCGTCTCCGTCCATATGCTGCTGATCTCGCCGCCGGGCGCCGAGGGCGTGGACCCGGACCCGGACGCGCGCGGTCCGCTCGCGAAGCGTCGGCTCTTGAGCTTCGTGGGGTCGGGCGCGCGGTATCCGCTTGCCGTCGGGGGCGCGAGCATCCAGTCGTCGCGCTTGGGGCCCGCGGCGGCCTCGGCGGCGCGAGCGGCTTCTTCGGCGGCGCGGGCTTGGGTCTGGCGCTGGAGGTGGGAGGTGGATGTTGGGAGGGCGGGGCCGTAGTCGTCGTCGTCGGACGATTCGTCCGGGTTGGGGGGGGATGTGGTGGGCCGTTCGGAGAGGGGGGCGGGTGGAGGGGCGGGGCCGAGGACACGTTTTGTGGATGACGGGGCTGGATGAGGCAGTGCTGGTCCTGGTGCTGGTCCCGTGTCGTCGGAGGAAGAGTTGTTTTCGTCATCGAGCGGGATTTCGTCTTGGTTTGAGGATGGTGGGAGAGTAGGTCCTATGGAAGGTCGAGTACTGGCAGGTGGCGGTGGAGCAGATGGTCCAATGTCATCTTCGTCGCTGTCGTCTAGGTTGATCTCAGCTGTATTTGAGGGTGGTAATGTAGGTCCTATGGATGCCTGAGTTGCTGATTGAGGAGCAGGCGTACCATAGCCATCATCATCATCGTCGTCGTCGTCGCTGTCGATATTTATTTCGTCCTTGTTGTTGTTTACTTGGGGTGGGCTTGTAGCTCGTAATTTTGCGGCAGGGGATTCTGGCGATTCATCTTCTGGAGTGCGTTTGCGCTTAGAAAGATGGGGTGGTAATTGGGGCCCTATGGAAGACATGGTGTGATATTTTGGAGTGATTTATGTAGAAAAGCGTTGTGTTGTGAATCACAACCTGGGACCTTGGAAGAATTGTTGATGAATGATGGATAGAATAAGAATGTACCTTTTTACAAGGTTCCGTTGCAAATGAACCTTAGCTGATAAAGATTACCTAAATTAACATATCGATTAAGCCTGTGATCCTAGTCTTGTTGGCTCGTGCATCGTGCAGCGCTTATCACTTAGCGGTTTTTAGTGGGTACTCGTCTGTGATTGGCGACGTTCCTCACTGAGCTCAGCAGGTCCCTTGTGCCTACATGGTACATTCTAGGTAGGTACGCTATGGATGGATTGAAGAGGAGCTGCAATAGCGTCTAAAACGTGTAAACCGTCTAAAACAACTCTGTACCACTTCACCTTCTTCCTCTATTCCTTCCGACTTGGAAGTTGATAGAGAATCATCTTTCTACAAAACGCCCCACCATACCTTCTTCCGTCTCGTGATCTCGTTCCGACAATTACCTCCTAAATCTCCAACGTCCGACGGAGCCGTTACAGATAATAAGGGTATAGCTCTTCATAACTACGAGATCGTGAAACGAATTCAAACAAAAGACCACCTAGGTACCTTCCTGGTACCACGGAACGTAATATACAAAGTAGCGATCATATTTGAAGTCATGCGCCTAATGTGGACGTCTCGATGAGCTTGCCTTCCCCGGAGAAAGACGATGGGGCTGTCAGTATGGACGATGATCACCTAGATCTATCTCCTGATGGAGATGCGGCATCAAGCGACGAGGAGACAATTAAGCCGGAACACGATGCGGAAGATGAGCACACAGAGGAGGGAGTTGAAGGGGAGTCAAAGAGCGTCGCCTCCGATCAGAGTCTAGGAAATCGAGCTGTCGCGAATCGGTATCGCCAACTCCTACGAGATCGCGATGATGATGATGCTTTGGAAGCAGGATCCAGCGAGGGTCTACCTCGAAGACCCGGGAGCCCCATTGGTTCCTTACTTTCTGTGCCCGATGATTCTCCCTCGCTCCAAGTAAGCTTCGCTACTTGCTATAATTTTACCCGTGTACAAAAAGAGAGAGAGATCATGTTAGCTGACAGCTTCAGGGTTCCATGATATCCTCTCCTGGGAGTAGTAGAGTACCTTCTCTCGCTTCTCGCGCTGGGCTTAACAGTCCCACACCCTCATTCAGGCCCTTTGATAGGCGGTTTCAATCTCGCATAGCTTCACCTTCGGCGTTGTCTCCTCGACCGTCTTCGCCTGCTTTTCTGGCGGGACATAGCAGGCAGGAGTCCATAAGCAGCCAATTTCCACTGGAATCTAGCGAGACCGAAACTCCTACGCCGCCGTGGGAGGTCGTACGATGGACTAAACTAAAGAAGCTAAACGGACAGACATTTTCTGAAGCTGGAAGGCGCAATTTTGGCTCACCTACCTGTATAGCTATTTCTGCGTCCATCGTGTTGGGCACCACGAAAGGCATAATCCTAATGTTCGATTATAATCAAAATCTAAAGATTATCATTGGCCCAGGCACAAAAGGTATATACTGGTTTCAACTACTTTGGAAACAATTCTTGGCTAATTCGCTACAGCTGTTGAATCTGGACCCATCACCGCTATTGCTATATCCGCAGATCACACAACGATAGGCGGTGGCCATGCGAGCGGTGACATATTCACGTGGGATACCAGCCGAGTCTCTCGCCCCTTTCTCCATATTCCTCCCCTGGATTCAACTCAACTACAAAATCGGGCAATGGACGGTCATATGCCTAATGTGGCAATAACTCATCTAGGATTTCTGGGCACTAGGCACACTGCTCTAGTCTCCGCCGATGACCGCGGAATGGCATTCTCTCATCTTGCGACGCGTGGCACCGGCGCTCTCGGGCGGACGGTCAAGACGGTAAGGATATTAGGTCGCTATCCAGATGCTCCGCCTCCCACGTCAGGCAAGCCCCTGAAACCCAGCACTGTCTTGGCCTTTTCTCCGTTGCCGCTTGGGAATGTGGAACGGGCGACAGATACGATGGGTCTTACGGCAATGCTTACTCCCTATTTACTAGTCATAGTCTCGACGACGCCAGTTGCGCAGACACAGCACAAGTCGGCCAGGCCAAGAGACGTAGCACCACACAGCGCTATGACTGGCTGTCTGGCGTGGTTTCCGGCTGTCAAACTGAAAGTGCCCGATCCTGTCACTGGTAGCACTATATCCAAAGTCAAATTAGTCTACTGCTGGTCGAATGTGCTCACCGTCCTAGATGTGGATGAGATACCTACGAACGACAGGGATAAACCTCCCGCCCTCAAATTCAAAGCGCGCAGCAGATGGACTTGCGAAGAAGCAATCGTAGCAGTACAATGGCTCAGCCGCTCTGTTTTGACTGTCTTGACGATCACGCAGAGACTCATTGTCCTAGAAGATCGCTCGATGAGGATGACGGAGGCTTTTGATCTGATCCATAAGTATATCTATCATGCTGATCTCTTTTCCGCCCAATTACACAATTTGGTTGAGCAGCTCGACGAAGACGACACGTCAATGCACGGTGTTGTCGCAGATGCTTTCTATATGAGCTTCAAGGCGTATAAGGGCCGCATCTTCCTACTAGGGTTCAATGATGTATCCATCGGTGCGTTATCGAACTGGGCTGATCGACTAATAGCGTTGATGGAAAACGGCGATTATATTGGTGCAATACAGTTAGCAACAACATACTACACTGGGGATGCAAATAAACTAACCGTCGGCCTTCCGGAAGATGCTACCCTCAGACACCGAATGGTACGTGATAAGGTGATGGAGATCATGAGTGCATCCCTGAAATATGCATTCGGTCAACGGCAGAAAAACAAGGCATCGGTAGACGATCAGCATCTGCGACAACTCGCAGAAACCTGTTTTATCGCCTGCCAAAGTGTGGGAGACCAGGATTTCCTTTTTGATGAGATGTACGAATGGTACGAAGACGCCGGTGTCGAGGGTATCTTTTTAGAGGTGTTAGAACCGTATATTCTCGAAAAAACGATACTTATCGTACCGCCTACCGCCGTTAAGGCTATGGTTACTCACTACGTCGGTAAAGGCTGGGAAGGCCGCTTGGAAGAGGTTATATGTCATATGGAAACTGCCACTCTCGATATCGACCAGATAACTTCGCTTTGCAAGCAGCATGGTCTTTATGATGCCCTTATTTACGTCTGGAATCAGGCGTTATTTGATTACATCACGCCTCTTATCGACCTCCTTACTCTACTAATACCTCTGGTACAAAACACAGAATATACAAATTCCGGAGATTTAATGGAAGATGAGATATCTGGGGTTAATGCGCTTAAGATGTTCCCATATCTCTCTTACACATTAACCGGAAGGGTATACCCTACGGGTGATAGGATGGAAGATGGAGTCGCTTCTCAGGCCAAAGCTGAGCTCTACTGGTTTCTCTTTTCCGGGAAGAGTATAAGCTGGCCTAAGGGCAGCGGCAAAGTATTTCTCACACGTCCGAAAGAAGCGGAAGAACCATCTTTCCCATATCTAAGGATGATACTGCAGTACGACGCGCCGAGTTTCTTAAGCGCGCTGAACGAAGCGTTTGAAGATTCCTTTCTGAACGAATCTCAGGAGAAACAACTCAACGGTGGGACCAGAAAAGACTTACCAGAAGAACAAATATTCGGCTTAACTGTCGACCGCCAGTACGTCATGTCTATTCTATTAGAGATCATGAACCCGAACGACTTTGCACCAGAGGATACTATATATCTGGATATGTTCATAGCGCGGAATCTTCCTAAATTCCCGCAATATCTTCTCATATCAGGTTCTACACTTGACAAAGTCCTCGCTGGGTTATGTAACTATCCTGGTATAGACTTAGCCGAAGACGCCCAATTGAGTGCGGAATATCTACTCTCTATATACCAGCCGCCAGACATATCAGCAATGATACCCCTATTCAAGAAGGCATGCTTCTATCGTATCCTAAAGCGGATATACAGGAATGACAAGCAGTACGGAAAGCTATTGCAGACCTACTTTGAGGATCCAGAAGACCAAGTAGACGTTTTCGACTGCGTCGCGGAATGTTTACGGCCCCAGGCCAATCTTACCAAGAGACAAATCCAAGATGTGCACGACGTTATTAAGAATAACTCGCGGGACTTTGTCGAGCTCGACCCGATAAAGGCGGCCCAGATCATAGCCGCGTATGCACCAGACCTACATAGGTTTGTCGTGGACTCACTTGAAGATGGGTCGGAGTTGCAGTTCGCGTACCTTCAGGCTCTACTTGAGCCCGACTCTGAAACTTCAGGACAACCAGCTGCAAATTTAGACAGAGATTTCATTGAGCAATACGTCCAGCTTATGTGCCGGTATAATTCTTCACATGTCTCAGATTACGTCGGTATTGTACAAGCTACCAATCTAAGGCTCGACAAGCTACTACCGGCTATGGAAGATACCGGTGTCGTGGACGCAGTAGTTATCCTCATGGCCCGAGAAGGACAAGTTCAAGATGCAATGGGCCGCCTAACTAAGCATTTGGGAACTCTAGAGTCAGCTCTCAAGGGACTAGTGGCAAATGCAGATGAGCATTTCGAGGACGTAGACGTCAAGGAGTCGGCCGAAGATCTTCTCAGGGGACTGCAGAAGTATACGCATGTTGGTATCTGGCTGTGCCAGGGACAAATGAAGATGGCTAAGAAGCTCAATGCGGTCGGTCGACGAAACTCGCCATCGCCAAGCGAACTTACCTCCGATGAAGCATTATGGCTCGAGTTAATAGATACCACGGTTCAAATCACGCGGCGTTTATCATCTGTTGTCACGCCATCTAAACCGATCAGAGTCTCTAGTACTGCTTCTCCATCCCCGGTTCTCGATAGCGATAAGCTCGTGGGACTCCTGCGCTCCCTCGTTCAGCACACATTCACGGCGCTTATGACAGCAACATCCACTCAGAATGGGACCCTTCCTACCAACCGTATAGCGAGCTCGGGGGGCAGTCTCACGTTTCTTCGGATCCTCCGAGGCTTCCTAACTCGAGCAGCTGCCACTTCGCCTAACCTTGCAGACCTACGAGCTGTTCTAACTTCGATTTTCTCAGCATATGCATATGAGGAATCCATCTTACAGCTTTCAAATAGGCTCTTGGAGCAGCAGCTTTTCGTCAACGTTAAAGAGGCGGTAGAGCTCCGCCAACGAGGATGGCGACCTAGAGGGTCTACGTGCGAAGCTTGTGGGAAACGAGTTTGGGGACCTGGGGTTTCTGGTAATGTTTTTGAGGCCTGGGAAGAGAAGCAGGCTATTGAAAACAAGAGACGGGAGCAAAAGAAGGCCGCTTTGCTCAACCAGTCTATGACGCGCGGAAAGGGCAAAGGTGATTTGTCGCAAGAGACCGAATCTTATGCCGGAAAGGGGAAGGGCAAAAGCACGGAGCGAAGCGATGGTCCAGGCTCAGCGGAGGGACATGCCGCTAACGGTGAACAGGGCATTCACGGCTCTGCTGTCGAGCCAAATGGAGATGATTATGGGAAGAGGAAAGACCAACCCCTAGGTCCGCTCGTCGTCTTAGCTTGTAGGCACATATACCACAAAGCTTGCCTAGACGCACTGCAAGCGAAGGAGGCAGCAAAAGGTGACCCCAGAGAAGTGGACGAGTTCGGTCGCGAGAGGGAATACAGATGTCCTATTGACGGTTAGGATAAAGAAAAAGGATAAGACGGATGTGGGTTTGGCCGTTGTATTTACGAATGTACACTACGACAGTTACAAGCCGTCGACACTCGATAGAGCCACTTATAAATATAATATCGGAGAGATTTAACATACGGACCTAACCTATGGACCGAACCTATCTCCATCGAACATATCCGTGGGAATCCGTATCCACACAATCTATATACATGATGCATACTAACGAACACAACAAGCAAGAGAAAGAAGACAAACGAAAAAGAAAGAAAACGGCAAAAGAAATGTAAAAAAAAACGTACAACACCGGGGATTCGCCGGTCGTCACCGACCCGACTACTAGTCCGGCAATATGCAGTTTATCTATGGGAGAGCGGACGGGATCCCGAGTTTTCTACATTTTATGGCCGTACGTGGAAGAAGAGTGCTTAATTGTGAGTTATATCTTCCTCTTCTGAAGTAAGGGGGAAAAGGGGGGAGGTACTTGCACCCACATCCCTCCCCACAAAACAAACTTAGGTAAAGCTAAGAGGTACCTATCTCTTTTTTTTACTCCGCAGAAACCTTAACGAGATACAGTTTGTCATTAGAATAATGGTAATTATTATTAATTTTATAAAAGGATACTTTGCATGGTCTCCTGATGGGAGATAAGTATAAGTACCTACATATTATGTCATGTGACACAGTTGCACTGAATCAATGAACATTCCGCACTCTCGAAGAATTTACATCCATATTGTTGTTTTGGTAAAGTTACAAATGCGTAAAAGGTATATACACAAGAAAAAGAAGAAAAAAAGTTTCGCGACGGGCCTCATCTACTAGGTAAGGTAGGTGCCTAAGGTAGGGGGGCGTTTTTCCCCGTCTCATCTGCCTTTGGTATATCTCGCTCTATCTATCCTTCCTTCCATCCCACCCACCCATCCATCCATCCGTCACACTCTCGTGAGAGACACGGGGGGGAAATAATAAACAATAAACCAATGCAATTCAAAACATATACCCGGGCTCTCCCTACCTCCGACCTCTCCAAACGCCCGACGCCCGCATCCGCATTCTTTCAGCAGGATGTAAAAGCGCTGGACTGGATTAAGGGGAGGAAGTAGCTTAGAGACTAGAGACTACCTAGTAGACGTGACGGCGGCGTCGCAGCGACGGCGCTGCGCGCTTCGTGTGCGAGAGGGGGCATCGGGTCGTAGTTACGATCTGGGTCTCGGTCTTGTAGATGACAGAGGGCTGGGCGGCATTGTTCACGTTCGCGGGAGGAGCAGAATCGTCCTCGCCATCCTCGTCGTCGAAGTCATCCTCGTCCTCGTCGTCCTCGTCCAGATCCGCGGGTTCGGTAGGAGCAGGCTCGGCGGGCTTGGTGGGAGCGGGAGTCGGATGCGGAGTCGGGTTTGGCTCTGGCTCCGGCGCCGGTGCCGGGTCTGCTTCCGGCTCGGGGGTCTTCTTGGCGCGAGGGTGGGCTTGAATACTGGTCGCGGTGGGCACAACAACCAGGGGGTCGACGGACAGGGTATTGATGACCGGGTCCGTCAGGCTGCTCAGCGGGATGGGGTTGCCGCGCGGAAGAGGAGTGGTAGCGTTGGCGTAAGGAGCGCCGGTGGACAGCGGGCAGTGCGTCGTGGTTAGGGTAGCGGTGTCGTCGACGACGACGATCTGGGTCAGACTGGCAGGGCAGTTCATGACTTGGGCGGCACACTCGGTGATGGTGTACTTCCCTGTCGTGGTGTGCACCTCGGTAACCAAAGGTACAGGACAAACCAGGCCGGAAGCAGGAGGCGTCGCCTCGGGAGGAGCGAGAGAAGATGAGCCAGTGCCAGTAACGAGTGGTCTTTTGGTGACGGTGGGTTTGGCCGGGGCTTTCGTCTTGCTCGACACTCCGGTTCGGGTGCGCATGGTGCTCTTGGTGAGTGCGCCGGTGCCGGTACCCAGCGCAGGTGTAGGGTCGGCCTCGGGCCGGCCGGTAGCAGTCAAAAAGCAAGTGCTGGTCGAGGCGGTGAAGACTGTAGTACTGAGCGTAGGGTTGAAGTCAACGATGGGGTTGTTAGCAATATCCGCGCCGATGTCGACAAATACGCCCGCATTGATGTTGATATCCGCGGAAGCGGGAAGGAGACATTCACCAGCCTCGGTGATGCTACCGTTACGATCAAATTCTTGCGAGAATTGTTCCGAAAGAGTGACCTCGGGGATGTAGAGGAACGCGCCAACAACGGCGTCTGCATCGAATAGCTTGCTTCCGGGTAGCTCCACACCAGCTTCGACACGTAGACGGAGCGCCACGGTGATCTCAGCAGGCGCATCGACGGTTAAGGGGAGAAGAGTCGTTTGGGCGCCAGCGCTGTAATGATGGTTAGCTATTCTATTCCCTTGTACTCTGGTTGAGAATTCACAGTTGAACCGTTCAGGGGTGAGGATAGAGGAAGAAGATACAGGAGGAACTCACAAGTTAGCAGTGTTGGGGATGCTAGGGTCTAGCGGTATCTTGTAAGAAGATCCATCAGGGATAGTAACTTCGAAACCAGTATCGGTTGCGATCTCAGCTGTCACGCCAACGATGAGGTCTACGTTGAAAGTAACACCAACTTGGAACCCAGGACCCTGGATGCCCAGCGGGGTTTCAGACTTAAATAGAGGAATGGTGAACTGGCCATCACCGTCAACGGCCAGTCTGATACCGATTGTAGCACCGACTCCCTCGAAGCCGATCGTCAAGCTGGCGTCGTTAAGGGGGTTGAAGTCTTTGATGTCATGAAAGAAATCACCAAGATCATCTGGGAACTCGGCGGACGCTCTGATGTTACCGTATGTGGTACAGTCGCTGCAAGATAAGTCCAGCGAAATATCAACACCCCTGGTAGCGGCCCAAGAACTGTCGACTGTTAGCGAAGGTGTCCATATATTTCATATTTCATATATCATGGTCATGATGTATATCAGAGAATGATGTTTATTGGAAAGGGGATTCCATACCCTGAGAACAAAGTCACACCCGAAAAGTCGTGTTCAAAGCTGAAGGTCGTATCAGCATCGCGCTTGATCATCGACCTCGTCCTTATCGGCCGCGGCGAAGGCTGAATATCGCGTCGGCCCCAAGGTACGAGCAGGTCCGAAAGAGGGGAGGCCATCGCCGGCGCCAGCAGCGACCAGCAGGTCAGGGCGATAGGCAGTACGCTATACATGGCTGCCTCGGTGCTATAAAAAATGAATGTATATATTCGGTTGCTAGCCGGAGCATACACCGAAGAGTCAGAAAACAAAAAGAGCGAAAAGTGAAAAAGGAGAGACGGAAACGAGAAACTCTTCAAGAAAAATAAAACCTTCACCGCATACTCATTATGTATCCAAACATAACAAGAAGGTAGAGGAAGAGAGAGGATAGGTAGGTAGGTATATACCTAGATGAATAGAAGGAAGAGTAGAAAAGGAAAATGTAAGATTCCTTCTTCCCCAACCCAGCAAAGATATAACTGAATAATAGGACTTGCATCCGATCCTCTCGTAGAGGCTGAGGCCAGGCCAGGCCAGGCCATTTCCCCGTGGTCTGTCGCTAAAGCCGAAAGTGGCTCGTTGTATTTTGCATCGACGACCCACGACCCACGGTCCGCGGATCGGGGCAGAAGGATTCGGGGCAGGGTCAACGTTGGCTCACCCCGTCATGAAACCGAAACGAGCATCTGCCAAGACCAGGGTTCGGTTATACCAACTTTAGTTATATTAAATCAGCAATTTACATAGCACACGCCGAATCAGGCGGGTGGTTGCTAAATGGAGATATCGCGGATTACATAGTACTATGGCATGTAATTAATGCAACGACGACGACGTATGCGAACGAGATAGAAAAACAGCTCGACTGATCTAAGCTGGTTTAGCCTAGATCTCTCAGATATACCCTTACCTACTTGTAGCACTCACCTGAACTAATCTGGCCTGATGTGATCATTTCCACCCGAGGGCAATCCAGTTTTCATTTCCGTCTTCCCCTTATAATCATGCTTGCTTCGTAACTAAACTGTTCGTAATTCATTTTTAATATTTTTTCTCCTGTCGTGTTTCCACACGCTTTAAGATGTGATGAATAGAGTAAAAAAAAAGTCTTTATTAGCAAACCACGATCAAATCAATATCTCCACTGGTACTGTATAACCTACGGTAATATGAAGATGGATGTTGGTACAGGTTAGGTTAGGTTAGGTAGGTATATGTAAATATTTCGACCTCCTGCATATGTCCATCTCGCTCTTCCGGTTTTGAAAGGCGATGGATGATGGAACGGGCTGCAAGGCTGCGACAAGTAGGTAGGTACACAGTAGAGAGCCAAGAGAATGATGAACCTGCTCTCTAGCCCCGTCTCTCTCCTCCCCCTGGTCTCTACCCTTCCGCAAGAGGCAGTCGGGAAATACTATGTATATATTTAAGCCTCACGGAGTGAACCACAGGTAGTCCCTCCCAGGGGTAGCTAGGTAGGGTAGCTTAGCTTGGTGACCTTTTTTTGGGTTGACGATAGATGGGGACCGCGGTACCGGGTTCCTTAAATTTGGTTAGTGTTAAATGATCGAAAGAAGAAAAATATAAAATAATATAAAATAAAATAGGTGAGAGAGTAAATAGTGTAAGGACGTAAGATAAGAAAGAAAGAAAAAAAAATAGACAAGCTTCCAGGGGCTGCTGCTCCTGCTTTTGCTTCAACCACTTGCCTAATCGGGACTGCGCCACATGTCGGGTCCTACCCCGAGTTTCATGTCCGTCTATATAAGGTACATGTATAATGAATGCATGGCATTTTGCTGCAGGTTCAGGTACTACCTTACAGCATTGTATTGTACTTTGACCTGATGTACAGAAGGATCAAGCCTGCTCTTTGCTTCTAATAGCCTATATACGCACGTAAAAGGTAGGCACTTACGTAAGGTGTGTATATCTTCAAGGCAGTCTCTACCTAGGTACTACGTAACATTTCCTACATGTATCCGTCGTTCCTTCTCTTCCAATTCCTCATAGCCTGATCTCCCTCCTTCTGTTACAACCCCTGCGGCCGTACTGACGGTACCGTACATGACATGAGAACCCAGGTCCGACCTGAGGCTGAGGCTGCGCGGGAAGAAAAAAAACGTGGGCACATGCAAGATACCTGTATTGTACCTATAAATAAACTTAACCTTGGCTAGCCTCGTTACTAACGAGTCCTTTTTACTCTTTCACAATACAACCCTTATATCTGACTAAACCTTCTCTACGTACCGACCTACCTAACCTAGCATAATTGGGACGAGATCAGTTAGCCCGATAATGGTGCGGCATGCTGCTCCGTAAATAAAATGCTTCCATGTAGTAGAGTACTAGGTAGCAGAAAGAATTACATGATGGTGCCAGCAATCCTCCCCATCCTTTAAGTTAATTAATCATCACCAGCACCAAATATAATATAAAAGTTGTGCCTATCGCTAGCTTCATCGAAAACATCTTTCCCATAAAAAAAGAATTGGAGAAAAAAAATTAGAGTAGTCTATTTTCGCCACCTCAATTCCATGATGACGAAATTTCTCTTCTATGATAAAAGAAAACCCTAAAAAATAAAAACCTTCACTCCCTTTCTTCCTTTTCTCACCTAGTATCGTAGGCGTGGTAGAGGCACCTTAGGTATGTATGTATATGAAGAAAACCGCTACTCCCAAGTTTCCATCCATCCTCTCTACAAACCTCCATTTGATCGCTTGTGATACACACCGGCAAGACCTTGGTTGCCGTAATACACCTTGTAAGGCTTTAAACAAAGGAGAAGCGATGCCAAATGTTATCCCCGTCCATTCATTCACTGGGTTTTCGTTAATTGCCGTCGCGGCTGTATATGCTGCTGCTGCTGCATCTCTCTATTTCTCTACCTGCTTTTCCTCTGCTACGTTCTTCTGTTGCTGTTGCTGTTGCTCTTCCTGCGGAAGCGCACCCTTAGCCTGCGCCTGGTCGGCCTCGGCGTCAACAGCTTCGCCGACTACTTCCTTGTTGAGACCCTGCTCTGCTGCAGCAGCTTGAGCGCGGTCTTCTTTCTCGTCGATGTCGTCCACATCCTTGGGAGTTGCAAGACCTGTTTCCTGGTTCTCCTGGTTTTGCTCGTTCTCTTCCTCGATGAGATCCTGTTGTTCCTTGAGGACTTCGAGACGCTGCTTGTTGGTCGCCGCGCCCTCGGCATTGTGCACCTCGAGCTCGATCTCGTGGTACAGTTCCTCGGGGATAGACGACAGCACGCCTGTTAGGGCTTCGATCTGGCTCTGGAAACCACCTTCTGTCTTCTCGCTATACATGTAAGCATTGCTTAGCACGAGTAGCGTCGAAGGAACGCCGTGCTTTAACCGTAGGTCCAGCCAAGATTGAAGGTCCTCCCGTAGTCGGCTAGGGGATACACTATGCGTCTTAATGCCTCGGCTGGCGCATGCGGTTTGCAGCTCTGCGACGTTGAGACTGTCAACGCCTTCGAAGCTGATAGCCTTGTCGTCCCTCTTGATTTGCCTCATCCTGTGACGAATTTGGTACCTGAGCATGGTATCGGTGCCGAACGTGTTCAAATTTAGGTACCGACACATGGACACGAGCTGCGGCCTTGACAAGTTGTCAAGGGTCAGGTCGTCCCTAAATGCCTTACAAACCTTGATGACGTCTTCCGTGCTCGGCTTCTCCCCGGTGGCCCGTAATTTTCGGAAGAATGTAGCGAACTCCTCCTTCTGCGTCGTCGAAGGCGACAGAGGAAGTCCCGTCTCCTTCAGAGTCTCACGTAGGAAAGAGCTGACCTCCTTACGGGTCGCACGTAGCGTCGCGGCCTTCTTGTCCTTGGACTGCTGCGCTTCGTACGTGCTAGGCAGCAGGTTGGGGAACAATTTCAAGGCGATAGGCAGGAGCGCTTCGGCAAAAGGGACAATGACGAAGACTGAAAAGGGAACTAAGCGTCCGAGATCCTGGACTGTACGTCGCAGTTGTCGGTTCTCTCGTCGCGTCAATTCGTAACCAGCAGCCATCTTTAACGCGAGTTTGCTGCTGATCCTGACTTCCGTCGCCAGCAGCTTCGTGCCGTCCCAGTAGTGCTGGATCTCATGCTTGATCTTTTGTCCCAAAGTCAACTTCTTCTCTTGTTTTCCACTTTGCTTCTCAATATCGGTGTCCTTTTTCGCGGCCAACTCGGTCAAAGACTTGGATTCGTCAGAAGCCTCGCCGACAGAAAGTGGCGTCGCCTTTTCAATTGCCGTGCCCTCGTTTGCTTTAACCTTGGTCTCCGATGCTTTCTTGTTCGCGGCGGCCGTGTCTGTCTTGGGAAGGGGTTTCTTAGCCTGCTCCGCATTGAATCCAGGGGGCGGTCCATCAGACAGCCCAACTGAATGCCTTTCGGTTGATATGCTTCGAATAGGAATCAGAAGGGCTCGCACAGCGAAATCTGAGGGAAGTTGTCGGCTCTGTCGTCCCAAGTAGGCTGATGGGAGGACGAGACCCGGTCGAGCAGCCGTCCTCCCTGCAAAGGGGTTTATAAATACCGCCTTACGGGCAGCATTTCTGGAGGATGCGCTCATATCGATAGGGGGGGTTTGAAGATAACGGTAGACTACCTAGTAATTGAACATATAGGTGTGATGATAATTCGCAAGAATGTAGAAGTGTGGTAAGGTGGGAGGGTGTGTTTTTGTGTGTGTGTGTTGTGTGCAAGAAGTTGTGTGTACAAGAGTAAAGATTGAGAAAGGTAGGAATGAAGAAGTAGCTTTTTCTTGCTCCCCCAAAAATGCAATCGGGTTTAGTATTAAGGTAAAGTTATGACACTGCATGACCCGACCCCCGAACGACTAAGTCCGGACGATTTAAACCTTACTATGTAGGTACACCCCGTTGTTTGAAAGCCTAAATCACGTGCTGATAATGCTGATAATGAGTCGATGATAGGCGATAATCAATGATAATCTGCGCTAGAAGGGCTTGTTCGCCCTGTCCGCCCCCCCTGTCCGCCCTATCTAAAACCATCTAGGCTGTTCTCTAACTCCACAACTGGTCGGACATTTCCGGTTCGGACGATGCTTACCTAAGGATACGTACCTAAAACGTACCTATGTACGAAGTACATACAGGAGGTAGGCAATGCAATGCAATGTCTCCTTAACGTCGTAATCCAATTATATCCAATTACGTCAGTACATCTTTTCAGCTGGTGCCATCTGTTCTCCTTATCCTCCATACGTTATTTTACCCCAAGATCCACTGCTCGAGTAAGTATTGATGTCACCCAAACACGTATTTCCTCAAAAGATGTCAAACAAATCCAAGAAATTCAAGCCTATCAAAAAATTATACTAACTACAATGGCAATGGGATCTATTACGCTAGCCCGGGTATCTAGACGTACAAGTAATTTACTAAAGTACCTAAATGATAATGAGTTGTTTCAACTCGGAATGCTCGCTTCGCCAAATGCAACATGCCTTCTCTTTCTCTTTCTCTCTCTCTCTCTCCTTTTCTTTTGCCCCTAGGTAGTCCTCTTAGATATACTAGTGAAAAACAAATCTCCAAAGAAGAAGAAAAAAACAGTAGACCTATCACGCAAATATCTTGCTTCGGATTCGAATAAAAACAACGAATAATCATTCCTGCTGTTCAGGTTATTGCCGTGGTCTCGTAATATTCGGCCCTGTACCGATTCCAGTTAGTGTTCTCACTGCCCAATGTAGCCAACTCTCCGTCTCGAGTTGTATCTTGAGCTCGTCTGCTCTCCGCTCCACTTCGTCCACTTGTATCTCGAACTGCGCAACGCCCTCCTCCACATCTTGTACGCGGGAAACAAGAGCGTTAATCTCGTACTCTAATTTGGCTGCTTGTACTCCAACTTCTCCAAGTGCCTCCGTGATTCGTGCCCTTTGAGCAGCGATTGTCTCCTGCGAATCCTCTTTGGTCCGTCTATATGCCGCTGCGAGCTGATCGTAGAGTGCCTGCAGCTCTTCTTGTTGCCGCGCGTAATAGTCATCTATTTCGATGACTGACTTAACCTTGGAATCCGCCCAGGGCTCGATGCTCTGCTTTATATCAAGAATATCCACGTACAAACTCCTGGCGAGTCCCGTAAGATAGCCATATTTCTCCAGGGCTTCTATGCTATCCGATTCGACGCTCTGGTCGAGACCAACGATCTCCTCCCATCGGAGGACGGCTTCTTCAGCGTCCCCGAATGAAAGTCTTCGTGCCCATCTAGCTTCGTTCAAGGCGCCTCGCTCAGGAGGCCGCGAAACCCCGATGCTATGTCGCCTATGTAGACTTGGTAAAATAGTGCTAAACCGCTGCTCTGTCTCGACGAACGGTCCCTGAAGATCAGTTTCGGCGACAATCGAGTTTGCCACCGAGGATTCAACAGTCGCTGTCACTTCATTTCGCACCTCTACGGCCAGTGAACCACGTTTGAAGTCCTCGTGTATAGGCCTTTGCACGTAGCCATTTATTTTAGAGGCTGTCCGAATTTCTTTGTAAGGTGTCTCTTCTACACCTGATAAGGCTATCGAGGCTGGAGCTGACTCGATCTCCTTGTCCCTTCTCATAGCACTCAGATACTCTTCCGGCTTTGTCTTCCATGTAAAAGCCCTGCCAATCTGGCCTGGAAGTGGACCAGAACTTGAACTGGTCATGGCCCCGGTAGAGGGATCAGATAGCACGGATGACCGCGGCCCGGTGATGGCAGATTCCGATGATTCATCTTTCGGAAGCCGATTGTTATGACTGCGTAGGCCTCCTCCACTATACACAGCATCTTTTATACGTCCGAGACCTGAACGGGCATCTCGAGCTACACTCTTGAATCCACGCCGGATGGCATCCTTATCCCCAGGGCTATCACCTACGCTAACGGCGGACCCGGGAGCTGGGGTTGAATAAACCGGAGGAGTGTCCTCTCGCCGGCGAGTCTCTGCCGCCTCTTCCTCCAAAGGCGTTATGTGCGTCTTTTTTGTTTGACTAGGGCCATCCTCCTTGCCGAATAGAATATTACTCATATCGGAAATGGGCTTTTCGTGATTGTCGGCAGTAGAACGCTTAGGCTTACCGAACCATAGCCACTTCGCTCGCTCTCCGGAGACCAGGCTAATTAATCTATCAAGATCCAGGGTCTCAATGTCACCGATCCCGCCTTTATCACGTCCACTGACCATGCCAAGAACGATCTCGCCTCGCTTTCCGCCTATTTCAGTCATCGTTGATTTAACTGCCTTCTGTACGCCCCAGCCTTCACCCGCGGCTGCTTTCGCAGTCACGGTACGAAGCTTGTGCATAGTTTGCCGGTCTAATCGGCGTGTTCTCTCTAACTTCTGGTATTTTTGAAAATAAGAGATGCCTTTTTCAGTGGCCTCGATGTCAAATACATCCTTTGGGACGGGCGCTCCAAAGTAGCTTAGCCTATTTCGGGCGCCCATCAGTAAACCAAGTAATGCGGCAACGGTCGTGGGGCCTAAAATACCGTCGGTCGGTTCTATGTTGTAATATTCAGTTCCAAACTCGGTCCACCAATCACCAATGGCAGTTTCGGTTACGTCGCAGAGAAGTCCATCAATATAAACCTGTTCCAGTTTTCCGAATAATAGGAGAGCCACCTGGCAGATCTTGACCAGCTCAATGACAACATCGGAAAACGGCATCTTCTCGGTTGTCTTATATAGCTGGTAGAACTTGGTTTTCGCTGCGCCTGTAGGCTCGGACAGGGTCATCCCAGATCGACCAGAACATCCGAGCCTCTTTAGATCTTCAATGACAATAAACTCCTTTCGATGTTTCCTGATATCGCCGTCGGGAACCGGTATGACAGTTAAAGCGGAAGGAAAGCTACTTAAATTTGTTACCATTAATAGTTCGCCCCTATCCGTTTCTTTCGGCCGCGCATGGTACTGCTGGATAGCCTTGAAATAGAGACGCAGCTTTGGCGACCAAGCTTTCTCATCAGCCGGGACGCTCAGAACACCAGCAACAACGACATGTTTGTCGTCTCCGGTATATGTAACGATAACAAGAGTAGGTGACTGGCGGGAGCAAGCCCATTGTTCAACTAGGTATAACTCGTACCCCCGTAGTTCTCGCCTCTGCTCGGCGACGATAACACACGAATCCCCTTCTAAATATCTGAAGGCAACGGGGTCTGGAATGATAACCTGGCGACGCTGATGAACGGGTAACGAAGTTTGGGTAGATGTGATTTGTCTCATGTCGGAGGGAGCTGTTATCGCTCGATCTAACTGGTTCGAGGCCATATTCTTTTGCGCCGAATTCCTCATATGTGCCAATTCGTCATCGCGTTGCCCCTTGTGCTCGGGCGAGGATACAAACGGTCGCAACGACATGGTTGCGCTCCTAACCCTCTATCTCGTACTAATCTAGAGTTCATAATGCGCTGAAATTGGATAGTAAAAACATATCGAACAGGGTAGCTATTAGATATTAACAAAGATGACGAATTACAAGTGATGGGTTGTTGAAAGCTGGCATGTGACGAAGGTGGTGTTGAATGTTACTTTGGATCTCCAAAAAAGTAAAAGTTAGCTGGTTTCTTAGCTGCTGGGTAGGTAACTGAATGGGTAACTAAATAGGTAACACAGGTAGCTACCCCCTACACCGATCAACAACTAGAGAAGTTACCGTCTTGTTGGCCAATAAATAAAGGAGTTCGATCCCAAGTCACACAGTTCTGGCCAGTCTGACCAGTGTGGATCGTCAGTACTGGAGCCAACTAACAAATGATGTAGGGACAAGGGAGTTTGAACTACTTAAAGTGGGGTTAATATGCGTCATTGCTACCCGTACCAAGGTAGGTACCTAGACAGCTAGACGGGTAGACTGGAAGTCCCGATACAGGCTAAATCATCCGATTTCTATGCAACGCCTGCCGTAGCTTTGACATTTATGGTACTTACCTAGGTACATATGGTAACTAACCTAACCATTGAATCGGTATCGCCACTTGCCGTGAATAATGCAGGTCGCCATCATCTGACTTTTGAGTTTGCAGTCTGTCATGCAATTCAATCCTGAACCTCTTTTAACCTTCTCAACCCGGCCAGCTCTCCCAGCCCCTGAACTTTCTTTTGTTCGTTATAAAGCGCCGTCAGAAAGGCTCTAGGTATTTTCCGTAGCGTCGAAACCTTGAAACCTTGATCACGATCACGAGGACAAGTAACTTACACACAAGTAACTTACACGACCGAAATGGCATTTTTACAATTACAGAAGGACCTGGAAAAGCTGATCGGCTCAGCTAAACTGTCCGATGCCGTACAAGATGTCGACAAGATTATAGACCTACTCACCGACGCGCGGGAGAAGGTGGCATCAGGTAAATAGGAAGATTCACGAACATAAATTTCCCCTCATAACATAATACACAATCAGGTACCTAGCAATACTAACACGGAACGCATCAGCTAATAATCCTCATACCACCAATCTAACCCTCGCCAAACTACAAAATCCCATCAAGGAGCAACTAGATGGATTAAATAGCGATTTAAGACATGTTTATAAAGCTCAGAATGAATTCAACAAGGCCCTCAAGGCCGCTTTCCCTAAAGCTCTGGGCTCTCTTCCCACCGAACACGATCCCATGCAATCCCACTCGACTCTTATAAACCGGGCTATCGTCATGCATTTGCTACGAGAAGGTCAATTTGGTGTGGCCTCGACATTTATTAATGAAGTGCAGCAACAATCTGAACTTGAACCTGAACATCGACAACAACCTGGACCTGCCCAAGCTCAACAGCTCGAATCCGAATTCGAATCCGCATCCGAATCCCAGCAGCCATCTTCCAAACCCAACTTTCATCCTGTCATGTCTCCTGAATATTTGCCACCTACCGACGCCATAATAACTGATGCTGATATCCCTTCCGACTTAACAGCATTCCAATCCCAGGCCCTCCAATCCTCCTTCGCCGATATGTATTCCATTCTTTCGGCTCTCAAAGCCCATAACTTATTGCCCGCTATAAGCTGGGCCAGGGAGAATTGTGTGGAACTCGAAGCGCGCGGCTCGAACCTCGAATTTGAGCTCTGCAAGCTACAGTTCATATGGCTTTTTAAAGGCCCCGGAATCAATGGACTTCCCGATACGCCGGAGAACGGGGTGCAAGGTGCACTGCAATATGCTAGGGAAAACTTTGGTCGTTTTCAGCAGCGCCATCTACGCGAGATTCGACAGCTTAGCGCTGCGATAGTCTACTCCCAGAACCTAGCAGATTCGCCGTACAGCTCTATATTCGACATCTCAGCCGCCTTCGACGAGGTCTCAGCATCGTTTACGAGAGAATTCTGTTCCCTTCTAGGCTTATCGGCTGAATCTCCTCTCTACGTTGCGGTTACGGCCGGCGCTCTGGCTTTGCCTTGGTTAATCAAGTACAACACTAAAACGAAGGCAAAGGGTACCGAGTGGACAACGGCCAACGAACTGGCCTTTGAGACACCACTTCCCCGGAGTATGATGTACCACTCTATCTTTGTGTGCCCAGTCAGCAAGGAACAAACCACCGAATCAAACCCTCCCGTCATCCTACCGTGCGGTCACGTTCTCGCGAAAGAGAGCTTGCATAGACTAGCTAAAGGCAGCCGATACAAGTGCCCATACTGCCCTAGCGAAGGTGTTGTTAAGGATGCTAAGGAGATCATATTATAAGCATGCGATAGGAGCCGGGTCTTGATTTGTTAGGAGTAATAGGTGTTTTTTTAAGTCCGTCAAATGGGAATGGAATTGACTACTTGGAATTCGGCGTACCATGATGGGGGCCGGTCCGGCCAGGGATTGACGTTCTCGTTACGTTCTCATGAGGGGTCTTGGGGGGATGATATGCCAAAACTCAACTCTGACGTAAATACGCCGGGACGTACTTGGGGTTATTGAACTTCATTATTATAATCGAACATTGACAGGGGGGTTATTTTATCTTGCCCTCGTTGCCAAAATCTCAACTGCAGAAAGATAAGGTCAACAAACTGAGTGCTTTGAAAGCAGCCCTATATGCACATGACAATTTCAAGTAAATTAGTACCTATGTAGAATCATTACTCGGTACTTAAAAAAGGATTTATTAGATAATATTAGAAAATTACTTAAGAGGCACCTACCAGGTAGGTAATCTTATACATTTAGTTAAGTGAAACCTAAGGGGTGAATATTGCTACATTCTACGCCGATGAAAATTATTAGCTTTGATATGGGACGGGGAGAGTTTAAATATTAGACGAGCAAGCAAGAAGGCATCGTATGTTAAAAAATAGACTTAAGTAAATTGAAGTGAAGTGAAGAAATGTTTGTTCCAACCGTAAAATACAAAAATCGTATCCGGAAGAAGTATGTTCTACGATTATTATATCCGCATTTCACCGCATTGAGAACATGAAATAACTAATAGTAAAGAAATAACAATTGACGACGACGAAGAGAACATGTAGCTGCTTCTTTATCAAGTAACTAAGGTACCTAACCTAGGTTTTTAGTAAAAACAAGAATTAGAAAGACGAAGCTTTCAATGTTGTAGTTACTTTATAGGTGCTTCACATGGTAAAGAATATCACTTGGTAAGTAGATAGGCATTGAAATTATAGGTAATTAATGATTTGAAGACGTGTTGAGAAAGTTATTTCGTAAATAATTACAATAATCATGAAATATGATTTTCTCTATCACTGAAGAACTGGAAAGCTTTTTTTCAGCTTTCTTAAGCCTGTTATATGTAGGGAGAGACATATATAAAGACATATATGGAGAAATAAATAAGACTTCCTCAGTGTTCTACTCTCAGGCCACACATCCTTCAGGATTATTTCTTCCTTGCCTTAAGTACCTGACATGTATGTGAAGTTCTCTTAACTAGGTGGCCGCAAACTTCAAAGCTTAACTCGCTCAAGGAACCTTTCAGTGTCATCAAGCCAAAGCAACCAAATCATATTATATAAGAGCCGTCTAGTTGGACTATCTTATACGATTCTTTGCTGGGTACTGCCTGGAAAGACTCTATTGAGGCGTGGCTATCTGTTTCGTCCATCTATTCACCTTAGTTCTTATGTAGCTACTTGTTCATTAATAGCATGATGTTCTCTTTGCCCTCTCTTTCTCTTTAATATCTGTCCATAAAACTCGTTTCCTTAATTATTTCGTTGAGCAATTCAAGCTCCTACTCAAGTCTACTCCTTACTGTATTTCTAGTTGACTATAGTGCAATTCTTCCCAAGCTAAACCCGAACATAGTTCTTTTTTAGCCCTAGCGTACAGACGTAAGTTGTAAGTGTACGATCTCTGAAAAAAAAAAAAAAACATTGTTCTAGCTGCGATGTGTTGAGAAGTCGTGTGCCGATTTCCCGGAGCCGCACCCTGGCCGTCTGACCGGTTTATCTCTCCCACGTCCATCATTATCTTAACAAACTGAGACACGGTACCTTAGGTACTTAATTAATATTGAATTAAGTCCATTTGTACCTAACCTTCTCAAAGCATTGAATGAGGTTTCTTTTTCTTTTATAAGCGTTCAATGGACTACATAGCAATCAGTGGTGGGTTAGATACGCCGTTCAACATCTTCTTTGTGATAATAATAATAATGGGGAACAGCACGTGTCGGAATGGAATCTCAAGATAAATTTAGGTATCTATCGTCCGTAGGATTCATCCGGTTATACGGCACTTAGCACCTCAACTTCAGATGATACTAAATAAATCTACCATGCTAGGTATCTACTTTAGGTATGTAAAGAACCACAGGTTCGGAAAACCTGGTTTATGGGGCCGGCCTCACTCTCATTGTAACATGTAAACTTTAACTATTTCCCTAGATCTTACATTGCCTTAGTAGGCAACGTAAAGGAGAAGAAGCTACCTGGTCCTCGGCATCGTTTGAGAAAAAAAAAGGTAGTAGACATTACGAATCAAATCGCAGAATATCTGCTTCTATTCTGCTTAGTTAGGTTAACTACATAGGCTATGTGTTTATAATCCTGACCTTAATGTTTTCTCATTATCTCTCTGCCAGAAAAGAGATCCGCAAAACACCATGCAACCTGAGCTCCCCTCCCCAGCGAGAAAATAATCAAACCGGGGATGAAAAGGGGGGGTATTCCCTGAGCGCCTGTCTACTACTAACGCACCGGCACAGTAACGGCCTTCTCCGTGTCGGGGCGAATGCTATCCAGATCTCCACCAAGTCTGACGCGACACACTTGGGGACGTAGAATGGGTTGTCCCGTAACTCCCATCACGAGTCCGAAACCTAAATTCAATCCCCTTCAACGCCAAGAAGAAGAAAGAAGACAAACGAAATTCACACACAAAAAAAAACCATCTCTCGTTTTACGAGAAGAACGGCAACACTTTGGATACCTGAAAATGAAAATAATGCTCGAAACTAGAAGGTCGTTTAATCGTATCGCTTTGTACACCTATATGCTATATCTCATCATGACTAGTCGATTGTCATTCTGGTCGGCACCTGGGGCTGCTTGACGTCGTGCATGGAATAGCTGACCTGGTCCTTATCCATCTCCTGTCGGGGACTATTGAGGTGCTGCTTGAGACCGGCGCCGAAATTGAACATACAGACCAGCGCGTTGACGATGGTGAGAATGATTAGGACGATAGTGAGTACCGCAAACGTCGTTAAAGACTTGCGGACGGGTAGATAGTACTTGTATTCGTAGGGATCGAAGATTCGCTCGAGCTTGTAAATAAAGTACGTCAGGCCGCCAAGATAGAGGATTATGATAATAATCATGCCGATCTTCCATTCGCGTCGTGTAAACAGTGCCGCGCAGAGAAGGATGGCGATGGTAATAGGGATGGCAGCAGCGGTTAAGGCGAATTCGGTGGACGTCTTTCCTCCGACAACGACTAGGAACTGGATAGTGAAACCGACAAAGAAGAAGAAATCGAATTTTAGGAGGGCAATGTAGACCTGTCAAATATTATTAGTCTCGTATGGAATTGATATAGTACGTGCGACGAACCTGGTAATGTAGGAATCGCTTCTTCATCCTGTAGTCAGCTCCTATATGCTTCAGGATATCCCAAGCAAATTCCTGGTAAAGCTTCCAAGCAATGAAGCTTAGGATAATGCTAGAGAGTGCGATAATGCACGGCATGGCGATAAGAACGCCTCGGACTTCATCCCATACGTTAGGGTCGTGGAAGGCGTTGTAGCTCTTTAGCGTAATGATGGCCTCGTTGATCTGGTCAATCTGGAGGGCGCTATAGATGAGAAGGGCAAGATTGGCGATGCAGAGACCGATGACCTGAATCGTGTTCTTGAGGCGTAGCGCATCCCAAGCCAACACGACATCGTATAGGAAACCAAGAATTAGCAAACCGAGGAAGGTCGGGATGGTCTTGATTTGAGCTGAGCCATCTTCCAAATGATCTGCCGAACCCCAGTCTGATATACCGTTCATGTGTCTAAGGCCCGTTTGAAATTGGGCAAAAGCGTATCTGAAAGAGGAAGACCATCATTAGTTCCAAGATCGGGTAAGAAATCAGGCGGTACCAACTTACGCTTCGAATACGATTACGATGACGGCTTGCACAGCGGCGACGAAGAAGAATAATCGGGGCCATTTTCTAGTAAATATCTCGCCAGTAGATTTTGCTAGGCTGCTGGCCCGATTACTCTTATTTGCGGCCATCGTGGCGTCACGACGACCCATGTACTGCTGAGGATACTGCGCTTGCGAGTACTGAGCGTATTCTTGTTCTGGAGAATGAAATGATTGATTAGAAGGGATTTGCCGGAATCCCGCTGAATCCCCAGCTAAAAAGGATGGAGAAGTTTGTCCGAAAGCCAGATTGCTGGTGCTGGACTCCCCTGAAAATGAGGAGTCGGACAAATAGGGAGCGCGAATAGTAGATGAGATAAAGTTCGAAAATATTTATTGGTGAGGTTGTTAATATGACTCGGTCGATGAATCCAGTTCGCTTAATCGTCGACCTGTTATTCTCTGCGGTTTTTTTCTTCTTCTCTCCTCACTCACTCTCTTTTATTGCCTTTCCCACTGCCTCAAGCAATGGGAATTAGTTAATAGCCTGGCGGGGCTCGACACCGAGTTATGAAAAAAAAAAAAAGAAATAAAAATAAAAGGAACAAAGGAGTTAGTTGACGACAAAACAGATTTTGACGTTAGTAGGGGCTATCAACGCCGATCTACGCAAACGTCGCGTGTATTGTAGATGATGAATTATCGATGGCGAAGGGCTTAATTATTGTTTGCGAAAACCGAGAGAAGTTTGGACGTGCTGAACTTCCTGAAACAGATTGATGGGCTTGATCCGTGACGAGGATGAACGAGGGTGAATGAAGCCAGGGGGGTTGTATTCGGTTCAGTCCGCGGCCTAGATTGGCAAGACTGGCAGGCCGTTTTTTGCTTGGCGTGCTGTTATGTGTCTTGAGTATGCGCGCGAAAAGGGAATCTCTTGAGAACTATTCGATGCTTTTTGTCACAATCAATTTTCTGAAGGATCGGCTCCTTGTATTCGATCGGTTGAAAAGTCCAAGTCGAACACAACGGTTTCAGCGAGCGGCGGAGTTAGGAACAATAGAAGTCAACTCAAGTCAGTCAGGTTTAGGTGCTTCGCATCGTGGCTGAATAGGTCCAGCTAATAAAATGAATAACGAATTCGGTCGTTTGCTGCTTCGAAGAGCGAGGCGCAGTTCGAGACCAACACGGAAAAGAAGGTAAACCAAGAAGTCCGTGAATTAAGTGAGAGAACAGTCTCTAAGAGAGAGAGAAAAAAAAAAAAGACGATGCGACAATAACGTTAATTTTTCTTTTCTTCCCTTTTTTCTTCTTTCCCTTTGGTCTGATATGTCTGATCTGTTAGTGAAAGGGATGAGAAATTGAGTTCGAACCGTTTATTCGGAATTGAATGTCAGATGTTCAGGTCTTGGGGGTCGGGTGGATAGTGGATGGTGGATGGGGGGGAACAACTGTAATTCAATCCGAATTTGAATGGGCTGTGCTGACATTTGACTCGACATTTGGCAGACTGGGGGGGGGGGCTGTCTTCTTTTCTTTTTTTTCTTACGGGGACGAGCTAGTTAAGCCATGCCGCTAACAGTGGGCACTGGGGATGTAGGACTTTTCGGTAACTTTTGCTAGTGACATTTGTTAGTGAATTTACTAAAATCCTAGCGTTAATCCTAGTCTTATGCTAGCGAATTCTACTTTTGGGGATTTCCATTCCTTGGGAAAGGGTATGTTATGCATCTGGCCCATCTTTCGCCTTATCTTTTAAAATACCTAGGCTAATTAATACGAAAATACTTATGAAGTGCGTACATAATACTCGACATTACATTTGCATTTACATTTACTTACTTTACATATAATAAATTATAAGTAAATACATAATATAACTAATATATAAATATAATTAAACACTTATTTTAAAAAATTATTTAATGCTTTTTTCTCTTTTTTTCCTATTTATAAACATATATAAATAATTACTTAATTGTAATATTTTTTATTATATATTTAATAATAATAATAAATACTTACAAGTATTATTTTTCTAGCTTGCTCAATTTTATATAAGTAGTATATCATTAAATAACGCCTCGGCTTCGTATTACGAGTTCGTGTAATAACAGCTAAGATTTAAAACCACTTAGCTGAACTGTGTACATAATAAATTCTTTCTTTGTTCAACACCTATTAGCATATTGTTTAACTATAAAATCAGTTAAAAAATGCGTTAGTTATACGCAATCTAAAAAAGTATTAATCACCGACTAAGGAACCCCCCTTTGTGCAGCAAGTTATTTACAAATTGCTGTTGTTTAAGTTCGTTCCAGATGCATAGGGACTTTCAGCTTAGCCAGAGTCCCACTCGCAGAATGGTGCATAGAAATATGAGGTGGATAGGTGCAGATGGACTAATGGGGTAGAACGCAATGCCAAGATAGCTCAGCCCCTTAGATGGTCAATGTCGATCCATTAGGCTACCTGGTGTCTCCATCCTTTTCCGCCTTTCGAATAAATTGTAGGCTATTACGATTGTTATGCAAGACTTTTTGAATGTGTACATTACGTAGTTACTATATGAATGAATATTTTATACCTCTTCGTTTCTTATGCAACTTCTTTTAAACCGTCGGAGAAGGGCGAGTCGAGAGCATATAAGCGGCAACTCAGTATAATTAACAGGTACCTCTAGTTTATTTTTTACCTAAGGTCAATAAAATCTGAAACCAAACTCCACCACATGAGGATTCGGCCTTTTGGCATTAGGTCCCTCGTGTTAGCTACGTACCTAGGTAACCTTATCCTTGTTAAAGTATTGTACAATACGTAGGTATTCGCAACTCAACCTCTTGTAATCTGTGTGGTAAGTAATAATAGGCTTAGTTAGAACTCCGATGGTTGTAGATGTCAACGTTCGGAATTTGGAGGTTGGAAAGTTGGAACTCAGCCTCGGTCGGTACATATGTACTTACCTAAGGTATGCACCGCCGCGGGTTACCTCCAAGGGACATTAGGTCCACCATTGTACTATGTACATCTACTATGTAACCTTATCAGCTTATCTAAATTTCTAAGTTACCCGTTAGGTAATCAATTAGTAGAGAAGGCCCCACGCGCAGCTGGCAAACGCGGATTCGCGCAACAACGCAACTACGTCAAAAAATACCGAAGCTTGGAACCTGGGACACGCGATTCGACGTCAACCGCAAAAAAAACTCATCTACAACAGTACTTTTCAATATTAGCGCTTTAACACTACCACTACCAAATATGATGGATATCGACGAGGAGGATATCTTACGCGCAATTGCTAACGGTGGTTCGATTGACTAGTAAGCATATATATCAATGATATATCAATTAATATCGATTCACCTGTCTGACTTCTGACTTACGGGAAAACAGTTCCATATGGCCAGCTTTATCTTTAGGAATAGTGTCGCGAATCGAAAAGGTCGGTAACGATAATGCCAATATCTGACTGGTGACTGGTTATCAAGTACCTAAGTTAACTTTCTCAAGTAGATCACACATAATGAATTTCCAATACCTAATCTGCCACCGCCGGCTGCTGCTACAACTATTCCACCTTCTATATCGCATCCACCTCTAGCCCGGCGCCATTCAGAGCCTACAGAGAATTTTCTATCGCCACTGCCGTCCTCCCCTCTAGAGCCTCCAAGTTCGCCGTCTTCTCAAGATAATAAAGAAAACGCTCCTATCGCGCCGCGCATACACCCGCCGCCCACATCAGCTCCGGCCTCATTCACAGCTCTTCCCCCGGGTACGCTACCACCCCAGATCGCTTCTATGCTTACCGAGATAACCTCCACTCTGAAATCTACTTTTCCCAACTATCCTCCGCACACTTTGCAACGCCTAGCAGAGCTTGTCCTAACGCCTAAACACCACTACCGCACACTACCGACTTATCTTCATGCTCTCGACAGAGTTGTTCATGTGACCTCGGGGCTCAACGTCTATCCTCTCCCTCCAGCCATACCAGATGCGAAAACAACATCGCTACTATCAAATGGAATATCCGATGCCATGGCCATTGCTTCCCCATCTCCCTTTGCTGCACCTGGCAGCGACGAAGCTTTAGGCGGTGCCCTCTTGACTCCTATACCCTGGCTTCAGCCGAATCAGCAGATTGGTGGACCTTCTCAATCCTCGCTGGGAACACCCGGCGCTAGAAGTCCTAACAGCCAGAATAGTGGGCTAGTTGGTCCAGTAGGCGGTGGCGATCTCGAAGGCGAAGTGCGCACGGAAAGTACCGAGACCATCGAGGGGCCTAATGGCATCGGTAGCATTGAGACCGTCTCGGTGTCGGTCAATGGCATTCCTTCCATGGGCGCACGCGGCGTAGGCGTGACCCAAGGCGAGCTGCTTCGGCAGGAACAACGCGCCGGCGTCGTCCCCGTCAGCCAACTCGTGCCTAGCCAACTTGTGCCCAGCCACCACGTGCATAGCGGAAACCCCCACCCCCAAGTCCACCGGCGAGCATCCCCCTCTTCGGGTTCCGAGCCTTCTCCAAACGCGGCAACACCACCGGCTTCTTCATCCGACAGTCCTGAGGCTGAGAGAAAGTCGCAGTCACCTCCAAACGCACATACCCCTAATTCTTCATCTTCTTCTACCAGCAGTAGCAGCAGCAGCGGCAGCAACACTAACAACCCTATCGCGGACGCCGAAAATGCACTGCCCCTAGGCTCGATAATCGGTACCGATGAGGAGAAGCCGCACGCGCGCGGGCCCGAGGAGATCGGACCCGAGGACATGGGCCCGCAGCACGGTAGCACGAGCCTCGGCAGTGCGACGACGATCGGCGGGCCCGGCGGCATCGAGATGCAAGGGATCGACGTGGAAGCCGCCGTTGGCCGCAAAGCCGTGGCGGTAGGGGGCCGCGGGTCCAGCAAGAGCCCGCCGAAGACGGAGGACGCGCCGGGCGATAAGATGGACGTCGAAGAAGAGGCGTCGGAAAGCGCGAGAAGCACCGAAGATAGCGGCGCTGAACGGGAATCGAAGCGCGAGGCAGAAGACGAGCCTCAGGGCGCGGCGGAAGCGAAGAAGTTAAAGGAGGATAAGGAATGGGAAATCATAACAGCTGCGGAAGTACCAGAACAGGGACAGGAACGGGGAGAACGAGACGCAGAAGCAGAGGCTATGGATACATCTTCGGATGGCAAAGGGGAGGACGGAGGAGGAAAAGCGGAAGGGGTCCAAGGGAGCGTCTAGGATAGGCTTCCTTGTCTCCGCAAATGGCTGTAGCAATGGCCTAGTATAGTAGCGGGGGGGAAAGAACACCTAAGGAAATACTATCCGGATCGCGGCCCACGCACGATCTCTGGTCGTTGGTCTGGTCGTTGGGCACCGGGCACCGGGCACTGTTAAAATAAGGTCTAGTTACTACATTCCGAAGTCAAATTTGGCTGGACTAGCATAAGGGGGATGGAAAGGAAGGAAAGGTGGAAGGGAAAGGCATAGGGAACTGTATTTGTTCTTTTTTTTTTCTTTTTCTTTCGTTCGGTCTTGGGACTTTTTTTTTTTGGAACTTTGTGACAGGTAGATACCAGACGGTTGTGGATTATGAACCACAGGGGAGGGGGGCGAGACGACGGTAGAGTTAATTTTTCTACCGTGACATAGGATACTTTGTACGAATGGAGAATGGATGCTGCATTTTGTTCCAACCTCCGCTACAATATCAATATTTATGCCTAGTAGACTACTCATTCGCTGGAATAAGCGATTGAACGGGCCGGCTCTTGGTCATCACAGTAGAATCATGCATACATCGTGATATTACTACGTTGACTACCTAGACATGTCCCTTAGGGGACGTATGGAATGCTCGCTTAGCCATACCGAGCATTAAAGGTTCCTTTCATGAAGCTAGTGAGGAAAGGGTGGTACATGATTCCTTTTTTCATTATAAGATCTCCAGTCTTTTCGTATATGAACGCCAACAAACCCATATTTAGCGCAAATCAAGTCCGAAGCTCCAGTGGCATATAGCGAAATAAAGTGGCCGGCCATTTCTCGATCGAATTGGGCCAAATTATTGAAGCTAACAAGGTATTGAATAATAAAGGAATGTCGAACCTTTTTATTTTATAGGACGGTAGAAATGCTCTCGCGCTCGATAACGCTGTTCTGCTTGTCATCGCGCTTTACGCGGTAGAAGTAATCGCAGAAATCCGAGCAGCGCATATGGCGGAGGAACTCTTCGTCGTGTGTGATGACAATGAGTTGGAAATTAGCCTGCGCCTTTCGGGCCTTAATAATGGCATGTAAGCTTTCAGCTAAGCTTCGAATGTTGTCTCGGTCGAGATTAGTCGTAGGCTCGTCTAGCGCGATCAACCCGCAGCCGATACCAAAAGATTCTGCCAATGCCAAGCGGATGATAATACTCGCCAGCACTTTCTGACCAGCCGAGCATCGCCCTCGCATGTCCATCTCGGTGTCCTGCTTCACCATGCAAACTCTGTAGTTGTACGAGCTCCGGCCCGTCGTGACCTCGCTATCCGACTTGATTAGGATCGTGTCTATGTCGGTGCCTTGGTAGGTGCTCTGCCACAGTTCGCCTGCGATCCGGTTCACCTCCTCCATCTTGAGCGCGTGGTACCGCATGATGGCATTGCTGAGCGCTGTACCATACTTGCCTAAGTCCTCAATCACTGCTTTAGTCGTTTCTACCTTGATGTGCGTTTCGCGGTACTTTTCTTTTGCCATTTTATAATCAGTTTCCCACTCGGCTATAAGACGTTCCAGCTCGCTATCCTTGCTCATCATCGTTCCTTTTATGGAACTTATATTCGCATTCAACATATGGCTTCGCGATTCCCAGTGTTTAGCTTCCGCATCCAGCCTTTCGTAATCTTCGTTAGCGTTACGAGATTCGAGCTCTTCGATGTTTCGTTTAAATTTTTCGATATCTCGAAGCGTCTTTCGGTAAGTGAGATTATCCATAATATTCTTCTTCCTCAACTCGCTGTTGCTGACCTCTTCCTTTATTTTGTTTGTCCGTGCTGTGAGGTCGTTCATATCTTTCTCGATACGCTTGATAGCTTTATCGAGTGACTGAATTTGCCGCTCGTTAGCAGCAAGGAGTGCTGGCCCACCGCGATCTAGATAGTCTTGTATGTCGTTGTTAACTAGTTTCAACTCGTTAACTGATGCCGCAAGCCCATCACGCTCATCAGCAACCTTTTTCTCTTTCGTGCGCCCTCTCTGTTGTGTATCATCTCGGATGGCTCTGGCCTTGAAAATCTCCGGCTCGATTAGTCCTATTTCTTTATCTGCATCTTGGATGACTTCTTTTTGCTTATTCATATCGTCCTTCTGGGCCTGAATCTGGTCTTGGAAGTATTTTTTTCTCTCAAGCTGCCGGCTAGCATCGCTGATTCTATTGCTTAGCCGACTTCGCTCTAGCTCGAGAGAACTTACTAGATCTCGCATGCGTTGTCTGTCGCCTGATAACTGGGAGTAGTTGTGTTTCACCCCTTTCATTTGCTCGGCACATTTATCTTGTAGTTCGTGGATCTCATGAGTGCTGCGAACTGCACCACTAGACTGCTGTTGAGACATAATACTTTCCACTTGAGCCTCGGCTTCTTCAATCTCTTTGTGTGTTTGAGAGATGTTAAGCACTGTTTTGCTCATCGATTCGAGGTCTTGCTTCTCCTCTAGCCTTCCGCGGACAACCTCATCCATCTCCTCAACGCTTTGCACCAAGGCCTCCTCTCTTTCCTTGGCTACTCGGATCTCTCTGTCAATATCGCCCTTTTCTGACATTAGTCTAGCGTAGGTTTCACTTTGAGGACGAACGGCTCGAAGATTTCCTAATAACTCTTCGCACTCAGACAGCTCAGTTCGCATCTCCTCTTTCTTACTTTCCCCGAGCGCTTCCTTGATTTTCTTGACCAAACGGGACTTCTCATTTACGTCAACGAAGGTGCGATCGCAGAGTTTACACCTATTGTGTTTATTTAACACTCTCTGACACTCCAGATAGTATTCCTTGAAGTGTTCGAAGAGGGCCAAATCCTTCTCCAAAGTAAGGATCTCCTCTTCGAGGCGCTCGATCTCTTCAGGTAGCTTATCAACGCTCGGTTCGGACATGGAATCTACTGCCTTAAGCGCGTTAAGTACCGCCGACTTGCATCGTTCCATCTCTTCATTGTGCTTCCTAACCGTTGCCTGTGAGCTAGAAAGCGTATATTGTACTTGCTTAAGTTGCTGAACAGTATCGTCACGCTTTCGCACTGCCTCGTCATAGGCTTGCGTCTTAAGCTGTAAAGCATTCTGGAACTCGCGGTTGATAGTAGAAGGCTCCCATGAGCTGCTGACGATGCTAGATATCTTATCGTTCCAGGTGCTGGTGAGGGTATCCAGTTTCCGCTTCTTGTCAGCTAGCTCCATCTTACGAACGTCTAATTGCGCCCGGTCGGCAAGGAGCTTAGTCGATTCCATGAGCTCATGTTTAAGCTTATTGTTCTCGGCTTCGAGTTGTTGGAGTTTGCTCTCTTCTTGCTGCAATCTTGCATCAAAATCACCCTTCTGTAGTTCTTGAGTGGCCTGCCCAAGCCGCTGTTCTACATCCTTAAAGGATGCGTCCAGCAACGCCTTGCTACCTTCGTCTACTTCCACCGCGTTGAGATCTTTTTGCAGGGCTGCAATTCGTTTCTCTATTTTTTCAATTGCTTGCCTCGCAAAAATGCGATTCTGAGTGTGGCGAGCCTTTTGATTTTCTAAGTCCCCGATGGCAGCTCTCTTTTTTTCGAGCTCATCGGCATTCTCCAATTGTAAGTTCTCGAATTCTCGCTTCTTGTCTGTCAATAGAGTCTGGATTCGCTCCTGAAACGCTTGAACTTTACGGTCATCTAAATCTCCATCGAAGCCGCGAATACTATGTAGCTGGGCGGCCTGACGGATGTACTCAATCCGCAAAGCAAGCTGACGTTCATACTTGGCTTTATCGGATTGGTGCATGCCCTGTTCTGCAAGCTTTTCTTTTACCTCGTCACTGGTCTTGGAGTGATCCTTCTGGTACTGTCGGAATTGCTCAATATTCTCCCTCAGCTCCTGCTCCAATCTCGCAACCCGATCTTCGTACTGTGCTAGAGTATCCTGCAACCAGTCGTCGGGCTCATGCATCTCAGTCATTCTGGATTTCGTCTCCTCTAATTTCTGTTCAAGATAGCCGAGTTCCCGCTGGTTGCTCTTTAAATCATTCACAATATTGAGGAAGCTGTTCGCCTCCCGGTGCATCTCGACGGCATTACGGTCAGCTTCGCTCTTTTCCTCCTCCATCCGTTCGCACTCCTTACGTAGCTTCTCGATCTCTTCAAATAACGCCCGAGATTGTTTTTCGCACCTGTCGGCCTTCTCCTTGTTTATTTTGTCTTGGCCTTCCATTATCTTATATTTTTGCAGCTCTTCCCCCTGCTTCTTTTTCAGCAGCTTAAGGTTGTCGATCGCTTTGGTATATTTCATAGCCTCGAAAATCTCGTCGAATCGTTTTTTGAGAGCCGAAGGCTCACTCATAGGCCATAGTGATTCGTCTTGGTGGCAGAATATTACAGCATCGAGAATAGCTGGAGCAACACCTAGACTGGTAGGGACGGCGGTATCGAGATTAATTACTCTGGAGGAGGTCGAGTTCTTCTCGCCTCCATGGTCGGTGAGGAGGGTGCCCTCGAGGGTCTTCTGGGACCTCGTGGTCTTCTTCACAGTGAGCTGCAGACTACGGGTGACGACATAGGTAGTATCGGGGGGGACATTGAATTTCAGCTTAACCTGGGCTAATACTTCTCGTTCTCCGCATAGCTTAGGATCGTGAATGAAAGCTCCGCCCTTGCTGTTGGGAGGTAGCTCGCCGGTAGTGGCATATTTAAGACATTCGATTATGGTGGTTTTACCTGAGCCGTTATACCCGACGATAAGAGTAAGAGGTGTGTTAAACTGAATAGTTTCCCGCGTGAGATGACTGAAGGACCTAACGCCCGAGATGGATAATTTGTCTATCTTAGACATTGCGACAGGTCAAAGTCCCGAGTTCTCCGGACTACAAAGGGACTCGTCCCATGCTATGAGGCTGGTACTATCTAGTAGTTGAGTAGTAGTTTTGGAATAATTCGCTCACTAATGAGAATGCTTTGAGGTGTGTATATATTTATTTTTCAATCCTTTACGCGGTGGAAGTCGTTCGTTGAGTTGCCCTTTTGGTGGGGGGATTGATTTGCAAGACGAACGCGTTGTGTTGTATGGAGGGGACGCGCCTTGGGAAAAAGAATACTGGACATACCTCTGTATTGTAGATACCTTAGGTACCTAGGTAGGTACCGACGTACTATACACATGGTTCTAAATTCTACCTAACCTAAACTAAGCCAGTACCTGCAGCAGCCTAAACAGGTACCTAGGGTCTGGAGAGCAGGAGCAGGCAATCCGGACAATTCAGTCCTAGATTTGCCCCTCCAGGTGCAGTCCCACTTTTCTGTACAGCTACCCGGCCTATATATTTTGCTAGCGATCGTCAGACCTATGGGTCTTTTTCCCAGATCGCCTTGGCTTCTGACGTACAAGTACAAGTACAATTCTAGGTCACACGGTAAATCCATTTTGTTAAATCGAGAAAAGTGAAATCCCATCCCATTTTCTTCGATATGCCCCTGCCCCCTTTATCAATCCCTCGTAGCTGCTATTGCATTTTGCTACATACCTGTATCTGCTACATGTACCCCAGCATTAAAACCACTTAGCATATGATGAAGCTGTCTTTACCTAACCTATGATTTCCCCATTCTCTCTCTCTCTCTCTCTCTCTCTCTCTCTCTCTTAGGTACATGCAGCTCCCCTCCATAGGTACCTGGGTAGGTATCAACCACAGCATAACCTAACATTAAACCTATTCCACAAATCCTTTTCTTTTCTTTTCTACATCTTCTATCAGCTTCGACTAATAACTGATCCCGCACTCTCCCATATGTCCCTTTAAATTGTTTTGAGCGCGATCGACCAGATGCCCTCGCTGCAGAAGCTCGAACGCTCACCATTCCCCAGTAATAAGAAGGCACACTACTGCTGCGTCGCATTCAAATACGATTCAGACTCAAGCTACTACTACTCCTGCCGTTCCCGCTGCCGCCGCCGCCGCCGCCGCCGCGACCCACTATCGCTATTATGGATCACGGACCACCAAATCCCAACGACTTATTTGAGTTTACCGGGCCGGTTACAATAAATCCCGTGAGTACTAACGGCAGTATGCTCTCTTGTCTCAGTTGTGGCGAATATCGCTAGTCTTAGAAACAAAATACCTTATATTCCCTAGCCCTACTAATACCAGATTCTATACATCAGATGACAGCCGCCGACCAGAACGATATGATGTCACTTTACGATAACTCCATGTTCACCAACTTCGGTGGCTTGCCAATGAGTCTTGATAGCCTTAATGATATGACTGCTGTCCCGACGCAGCCATTTCCACCAGTTTCCGCTGCTGGAAACCCGCAAGCTGCGCTCATCCATAATGACGCCATGCAATTTACATCAAATACGGGTGAAAGCGCAGTTCCGCCGCCGCTGCTGCCGCCGACGACTACGGGCATTGCTCCGAGCTTCCCAGCCCCCGTGCAGCCCACTTTACAAGGAGGAAGCACTTTGACCGAATTTACCAAGAGGAGGAATTGGCCCGCAAAAGTTGTCGAAGAGCTCAAGGACTTTTTGCAGATACTGGATGCTCACGGAAGAATTAAATACGCATCACCGAGCGTCACTTCATTGACTGGATATGAGTCGGATGAGCTAATCGACCGGTTTGTGAAGGACTTAATTCATCCAGATGATGTTGGGACGTTTACATCCGATATGAACGAATCCATAGCGACAGGGAACCCACTCCGCATGTTCTATCGTCTGAAAAAAAAGGATGGCAATTACGCAATTTTTGAATCTGTCGGCCACGCGCATATCGCCGCAGCTAAATTTGCGCCAAACCCGGAAAATCAGTCGCCATTCTGCCAGTCGGTGTTTATGATGTCACGACCGTATCCCACTAAGAATGCCGCACTTCTAGACTCGTTCCTAGAACACAAAATCGAAAATGAGCGGCTAAGACGTCGCATTACGGAACTTCGAAGGGAAGAAGAGGAAGAGGAGGCATCTCAGCAAAGTTGGTTTACGAGCCAAGAAGGCCGATCAGATATTGCTGCGTCAGAGGATACGATGTTAACCTCTTCTCAGAGTCCTGCCTTGTTCACCCAGACAAGCGTGGATTCACAAGCTATGCCACCCCCGGAAAGACCGACGGCGCTTAACATAGCATTAACAAGGGAGAACCTCGAAGGAGTGACAGCAGGAAACCGGCCAGATTCGATTAGGGATAAGATGGCGAGATATGAGGGCGCGTCACATACCGATACTATCGAGATGTTGACTGGTTTAAGATATGTTGAAGGGGAACGAAGCCGTGGCATTACTACCGGTAATTCTAGTCCGACCCTTATCAAGGGTGATGTTGGCATTGCCATACCGATCGATAGAGACCCCAGAACAGGAGAAAAGAAGAAGAAGCTTAAAGTTGCAGAAGAATATGTCTGTACTGATTGTGGTGCGTATAACAAGTTGTGTGTAAGCCGCACGGATCATTGTTCTAACATGACTCAGGCACACTTGATTCCCCGGAATGGAGAAAAGGTCCCCAAGGACCCAAGACTCTTTGCAACGCTTGTGGCCTGCGATGGGCCAAAAAGGAAAAGAAAAAACATGCTCATAGCGGAGGTAATATCGGCAACCCGGCCCACGGGCATCTGCCTATATCCATGATGGAGCAGCGATGAGCGTTTCTTGAAGAAGTTGAATGATTGTCGTCCCTTGAATGGATCGGTAATAGAATCCAAGGTGTATGGCGTATGGGTATTCCTAAGGTACATGATAGTGACTTATGCTCCGAGGGGCATTTCAAATTGGTCGGGCTATAGGCATGGAGTCGGAATAAAATCATGGTATGCTGGTTTTTTTTTTTACGAATGGACTTATTACACAGTATGGTCTTTTCTTTTCTTTGTTTCTTCCTTCTTTTCTTCGAGATACCTGGGAACGAGTGTGGTTCGGGCTGTACGATTCACGGGGATATCTCACAGGCAACAAAATGGGTGTTTATGGACTATTTAGATGTATACGGTATATCACGAAACAAGGGAACACGGAAACAAAGGAACAAGAATGCTTATGTGGGCTTTTTATCTATTTTTAATTTGAGGCTTACCTGCATACCTTACATTGAAGTGGCACGCGGTGACAGTACATCATATGCTTTTCACCGATTACGCCTTCCATCACATTTCAGAAGCTCTATTTCTGTACGAGTTTCAGCACGACAATGCATCATGACACGTTCTCATATACTGAGCGCTATTTTCGAATACGCCGACCTTGCCATCCCCTCTTCACTTGTCCACTCATTAAGTCGCGGCTTTAACCCCGTAGCGTAGCAGCCACAATGGGCGGTAATAGGGGGTTACGGTAAATGCTTAGCGACACGGAATACAACTCAGAGGAATTGTTTGTATATGTTACGTAGAATGCGCTCAGCTGGTTGGCAACCTAATAAATACTCTGCAGACTCCGCTATACGCATTCATTTGTTCGGTCTAGACCCTGCGCTGGGAAATGCTCCATAATACCGTAAGAAGGGTTGTTATATGGTTACACGATCTCGATCGCTTGTGGTGAGCTTTTGCTTTCAGAGAGTCAATGATCGGCATTTTTTCTTTTTGGGCAGATAGTTCCACCTGAGATTTCAGTTGATTTTCCAGAAGACGCGGTTCAGCTAGATACAAAGCATGCGCTTTCTCATCATAACATCATAAACATCGTGACATGAAATATCCCTCCAAAATGTCTGGGCTGGCGATGCGACCGTTCCCTTCGCAGGAACCTTGCAGGACTGTCCTGGCTGGTCCTTTCTACGAGAGGAACTTGGACGCCAGACTGAGGATACCCGATCCTGAGGACGATGACTCCGTCTTGCCGCCGCCCTGGCTCTTCAGGTACATCTTTAGGGCCATCTCGCCGGCCTTCATCACGGCGGACTCCTTGCTACTATCACTGGAGACCTTGCCTTGAGACGCCTTCTGGTCGAAAAGCTACAAGGGGGTTTTAGTTTAGCACAGAACTATCCGCAGTACAAAAGCTTGTAACAGGTATTCCATCATGTACGTACCTTGCTGGCTTCAGCCATGGCGAGGCCTATGAAAGCACTCTTGCTGCTACTCTCCTGCGCGTCTGTCAGCTCTTCTGTCTACCCAAAGTAGCACAAGGCCTTCTGGAAGCGGGGTTCTTATTTATGCCGTACTTGGGTGTTGCCGCTCTGACCGCTGGTAAACAGCTTGAGGGCTTGCATGGCGGCGGCGGAACCTAAGCTCTTGTCGTCGGCGTCGGCGTCATCGTCGTCCTTCTCGAAGAAGCGCTTGTGCTGCTTCACGGCGTCGTCCTCGTCCACGTCCTCGTCCGCGAGGGACTGCTTCTTCTTGGTGAGGGCCCCGAGCAGGTTGGAGAACAGATCGCTGTCGCCAGAGCCCCCCGCGTGCCGGCTCGCGTGCTCGACGGCCCCGCGGAAATCGTCGTCGTCAGCGGCGGGATAGCCACCACCAGCGGGATATGCGCCACCGTGCGTGACTACATAAGGGGGGGGGTTCGCCGTTAGAAAAAGTATTCGGTACGTGTACCTAATGTAAAGTATAAAAGATTGATTTTATAGTTTAATTCTCACCGTTGCCGCCGAAATCTACGGTTACATTTGGAGTGGTTAGCTTGCTGATTTGACATTGAGCATCATTCGTATGCGGGGCAGGCATATCGCCAAGCTTACCTGGCTGTCTCTCCCCGCTCATGGTTGTAAAGTGGTAGGTAGGTATAAGATAAAATACGACGTGTACAGGAGGTAGGTAAATGTGTATATACCTCTAAGGTATGTTGACTTATGTAGGAGGTACTTGAAAAGTAAAAAGAGCAACAAAAAAAAAGAAGAAGAAAAAGGGTAAAAAGCAAAATAAGGACTATGTATTTTGTAGGTTAGACACGCATTAGTTCAAAAAGGAAACAGGACCTTTAGGTATCTGGTCTCAGACTGCGTCACAAGCTCCGACGACCTAAAGCTCAGTATCGACCAATCCATTGGACGATGACGTGTGCGGGGTATTCGCACCACGTTTGGGATTATTTCTAGGCATTTTAGATACAATACCTGGGGGAGGGGGTTAGCAAGTAGGTTACCTAGTACCTAAGCATAGTGGCATCACTTTATCAGGTATATACATCTATTAAGTTGAATAAACGCGTGTAGTCAGCATTCAAATAATATTTTTAGCAGTTTTGGTGACTTGATAGGAGGTATTATACTTCACTAAGTTCTCAGTAGCTGCATATTTACAAAATAGCTGCATCCATTCAAAGTTTAGGTATTTTCGTCTTGAAACTCCCAAGAGTTTAAACCCTTCAAACTTTCATCCACTTACTCCAGCATATCATAACCCACAAACTCGACCGAAACGGCAAGGTGCTCCAGAGGCACATCAATACGAGACAAGCCCAGCAATCAGAGTCGCGTGTTTGCTCTATAACTGCTACATGAATTGGAGAGGGTAGTAAATTGCTGGCCGTTATTCAGAGGTAGAGCGAGCTCGACGTTAAAGCTTCTTCAGCTGCATGCAGTCACTTTTTCAGATCTTCCCCAGACCAATCACTTATGTATATCACATATGTCTCATGAGAAATGGCTGGACGCAGCATATGCAAATGGACGAAGGTGGCTTAACTATTGGTTTCCACCCTCTTTTCCCTTGACCTGGTTACCCTGGTAGGCTGAAAGTGCATACTGTCACTTCTCATATTCTCTATTTACAGCATTCCGAGATGTCCACCGCTTCATATCAACTGACATTGTGCAGCACGTGGGCTATTTTGCGTTGTTGAGGGAAGTTCTAACAATGTCGAGTGGCATTACTATCTGGGGCTGCTTTACGGAATACTAGAGTAGCCCTCCTGAGACTTGGTATTGTATTGTATTGTATTGTACAATACAATACAATACAATACAATACAATACAGTACAGTACAGTACAATACAGTACAGTACTTCCTACGAGCTTGGCTGGAGATACCAAACCAACCAATTATATTCGCTCTTCATAATGATACGAACTTTTCGAAAGACTCTTCCTTGCTACGGTATGGATAAATGATAATGAAGCTAACGTCCAATAGACTCTAATACTCAGCACTATATGCTATCTATGCTTTAGGTACCTAGCAGGTATGTACTTAAGACAAGGGGGGCAGAAAATAAGACCGGTAAAATAGGTAAAATACGAGCTGAGAAGTCACGACATAAGAGGTAGGGAACCTAATGTGGGAGCACCAAAGGCTATGAAATATCAGCAGCCTATCTAACTCTCAAGGACCTAACTCATACGCCTTTAGGCATGACTATAAGGGTACTTAAGATAAGGTCTGCCTTTCCTACACGTATGATAGAGCTGTCGACTTGACGAGGCAGCGACGTCAGTTCATTAACTTAGGAGGGTAACATCGAAGTCCAAAAATACGTCTCGGCTAACATTTCGAATTACTATTCCGAGAGAGCGTTTAAGCTCATTTTATCACTCAACCAGACTCTAATATAGGAAGGTACCTGATGCAATGTATTGTCTACGACGTTTTCTCAATTTGCTGCATGTAATTCTCCGAAACGCCGCACATTTTGAAATCACGCGCCGGATGCCAACTCACTAAAATATTTGAAAAAAAGCCTACAACTACCTAAGGTATATCGGCGATTCCTCGCGCAAACAGGAGACTAAGTTGACTCTTCACATATTACTCTAATCTTCGCAGTCATGCAGGGAGATGTCGAAAATGTCGATGTGCTCATCGTCGGAGCGGGCCCCGTGGGCCTTATCACGGCGTTCCAACTTGCCAAATTCGGCGGTGTCTCCGTCCGAATCGTCGAGAAACATGCCAAGTCTGAACAGGATTCATATGGCCGTGCTATTACCCTTTTTCCTCGGACGGCGGAGATGCTTGACCAGCTAGGTCTTGCCGATGAGCTACTACAACATTGTTTTGCTTGTCGTAATACGGTAACCTACAATGCCGAGGGTGAAGAGGTCGACGGCCGGGGGTGGAGTTTCATGAAACACATGAAAGATACCACATTCGATTTCTCCCTTGTCCTGAGACAAAAGTTCCAGGAAGAGATATTTAGAAACGCATTGAGGCAACATGACGTACACGTGTCGGCACCGATCGAGTTAATAACAGCTTCGGTGGACACCAATATCCCTACCGGAAATCACAAGGTAACGGCAGTTCTTCTAAACCACCGCAGTGGAGCCACTGAAATTGTGAAATGTAAGTACTTGATTGGTTGTGATGGAGGACGCTCATCTGTCCGACGTATCTTCAACATTACCTTCGAAGGCTCCATTAGCGAAGACAAATGGGTGAGGATAGATGGCCAGGTGAAAACTAATCTACCTAAACCTCGTTCCTATTGCTCAATCGAATCCCCAACGCATGGCAATGTACTCTGGGCTGCTCTGGATCATGGATCTACAAGGATCGGCTACGCATTTACTGCAGACCGGGCTAACGGATATGAAGAATTTGACGAGGCCGCTGCCGTTAAGGAGGCTATTGCTGCAGTGAAACCCTTTCAGCTTGAGTTCGAGCATGTTGACTGGTGGACGATATACACAGTGGGACAACGTATAGCGAAATCCTTCTTCGTCGAAGGTTGTATCTTTCTCGCTGGAGATGCCTGTCACACCCACTCGTCGGCCGCTGCGCAAGGAATGAACACTGGCATCCACGATGCTGTGAACCTGGCTTGGAAACTGAGTCTCGTTCTCCGCCGATATGCGAGGCCAGATCTTCTTGAGACGTATCATATGGAGCGATTCCAAAATATAGCAAAACTCATTGAATACGACAAGGATATCAGTCAGCTTATGTCAAATCATCTACCCGAGAAATGGCGAAATGATCCAGATGCTGATGTCAATGTGATTCTGGCCAAGATCTTAGAGGAGGTTGGGACTTTTACCAGCGGACTAGGGATTTCCTACGAGGTTCGAAAAGATAATCCCATAAACGTTGAAGGTCCGTTTTGCGGTAATCACTCGCTGGTAAAACCAGGCATGAGAGGTCCAGATATTACGCTCCTACGTCCGGGAACGTTTGAGCCCACGAGACTGATCCGTGAACTGCCCAATACCTCGCGCTTCAGTGTGCTAATTTTCGCGGCGGAACGTCAACCGCCTATTCCAAAGGTGCTCTACGACGATATAACCTGCTCGCTAGCCCTAGAACGACCCGTTCTTATGAGTGCGCATCTCTACCTATGTTAAATGAGGCACTATAGACATGGGCTAACAAGGAAGCAGGCCATTTGAGATTCGTAACGATTCTCCCTAAACCAATGTCCTCGCCGTATGAGGTCCTAGGATGCGAGCCCATCGGGCGTGCTTATTTTGATGAAAAGGACGGCGCTGCATATCGTCGATATGGAATAGAATCGCCGCGGGGGGCAATCGTAGTGCTAAGACCGGACGGCTGGATCGGTACGATGATTGAGTTGGGAGATAGAGCTGCTTGGGAGCTGGAAAGCTATTTTGACAAGATTCTTCTCTATCGCTCAGTCTAAGGTTATAATGATGTTTTTTCCCGTTTTATTTTTGGGCTTCGCCTTTGATGGTGTTGCAGTGTGTCGTTTGTTCAGTTGATAATATCATATCGATGGTTAGAACCATCAACAAGCAAAATAATTCAGGTCCGAATCTAAGAGTAGCTAAATTGTTCTATAAAATAAACTCTTTTTCTCTTCTCTTCGTATGTACGATTTAACCCTAGGGTTCCGAAACTTGGTGTTGTATCAGGATGCTGACCTAGGTGTAAGAGAAAGGCTGGGGTATACGTAAGGCGAGAACAAATCATACGATATAATGTAAACAAAAGCACAGGTACTACACTACATACATACTAGGACTATGGTAGTTTAATAATTCTGAGCTTTTCTTTTAATGGTTTAGGTAAGTTCTAGGATAGCTTCAATTCATTTTCGTCTACATTTCAAAATATGAAATCAAGGTTTCGTGTGCTATGAGGCATTATATCAAACATTTGACTGAATAAGGAATCCATACAGAGACAGAGTTATAATACATATACCCAAAGAGATGTAATCTATTATTTCCCAGTTAGTAAGCGGTTCCATGTCAACTAAGCGTCGAGGTAGTAGCCAAGCTTCATATCCAAGTCCCGGCAGGGCGATGGGTGCAGTAGTGGGACAATATATTGCAAGTGATAGCCTTACCGCCGTCTTAAACGTTAGACGTCTAGAACCGGGTTAGAAACCGGGAGAGGAAGTTTATCTGGACGGCAGCTTCGAAGTGTACCCCGAGGGGTTATCGTAGGGTTTGCTACCGTTTTCCCTAGCCGAACCGTAAGGACGGCGTTCGATATATCTGCAGGTGTGTATGTCCTCAGGCACGCCGCTTTAGGAAACGGAGCCCAACCTAGGTAGTTTACCTCGAGTTATCGAGATACTTGAACCACTTTGGCGAAGGAAGACATGCTCTAAGCCCTATTCACTACCCAATCTAGAACTTTACCGAGTTTCAAACTGATTTAGGGTTCGGAATAAGTAACAGGATACCTATAATCGAAGGAACGCGTGAGTGCTACGTGACTAGCCTGTGTTAGGTAGGTATATATACTTTAACGTAAATAGCTCTCTCTTTCTAGGCATATACCGTGGTCTAGATAATGATACGGATCTGTAATATAAGGATATATCTAGACTAAGTACCATCGAGTGAGGGTCGAGGAGGAGGTTGCGTATAAAGCTGACGACGATAGCGGGGACGAGACCGTTGTAGCTATCGGGACCTAAAATGGACCGTCGACGGTGAAACATATCGTTGGTGATATTCTAGTTGAACAGTTCAAAGTTTGTTACTCTCGGTGACCCCTGTCAGGATTACGGATGATGTCTGGATTTGGTAGGTTAGAGCATATATTGAAGAACAGTATTAAACTAAACACCACTGATCCCTGCTCCGACTAGGCTCACGATGCCGAGTACCGAAGACCACTTTGTTCCAACATTCTTAGGTGGACCGCCACGTGGTATGGGGAAGTTCTTTCACCCCTTGATCCTGGACAGCCACGCCTGCAGAAACTATGTACACTCGCAGCATACAGACATGAAGCTAGCCACCTGCGGCCCCGTATGTCTCAACGCAAAGCAACCTATGCTGGCACTCTCACCGAGAATGATTAATTCATCACGGAGGCCTTCCGAAGAGCATGATAGGCTACCGACATCAAATCCTAGAGCTACCTAACCTAACCCTGCGCATATTCTGGGGCTCTCCACGTTTCAACCATGTGCGCACGAACGCAAGTAATATGTTTATATTTAGACAGCTAGGTGTGTATATGTATAGGTATGGCTGAGGTATGGCTATGCACATAAAAGACCCCTAAACGACGCAGTCTCAGCTGCGAACAGATGTGCCTGGCGTTACAAAGGTACGCGGCGAAGTGGCTGGGGTGGCATGATAGTCGTACGATGGCGCAAACGGGAATGGAAGGAATATTGCATAGTGGAACTTATAGCCAATTAACGAATATAACTAGTGTAAATATATCCATCCCATAGGTAGCTCCTCTATAGAGATGCAGTCTATTCCAATACAATACAATATAATATCTTAGTTATTCTTATTAACTTGTGTTGTTACTGTTGTTGTTCTCGCTCTCCTTTTCCCGCAACTCCATTCGCCACCGCATTCCCCTTTTCGCGATCAGGTACAGGCACGGCGACAGCAATACGTAGAGCACCGCGATGATCGTGTAAGCCTTACCTGGCCCCACGGCCCTGATAAGCGGGTCGATGGCCGCGGCCATAGCGGCGCCCAGCAGGAACTTGATGATGTTATTAGATGCGCTGGCGGCGCCGGTCTTCCCCGGCCGGACGTCCGCGATGAGCGCGTTGAAGACGCTCGTGGTGCTGACGAGCCCTAGCCCGAGCAGGAAGACCAGCACGCACACGACGGCGACCGAGACTTGGTTTTCCAGGGCCCATCCCCAAGCCGTGATGACCACCATGCTTAGTATTAGCGGCGGGATGGCAACTTCGATCCGCGCGCGCTCGATGGGGAAGTCTGATAGATCGATCTGGCGGGTCCTGTCCACTTCTACTCCTAGCTTTCGCGCGTGTCGCCGGTAGTTCCAATTCATCCCCTTCCCGACTAGCGCGACGGAGAAGATGGACCCGACGGCCATGGGTAGGTAAATTAAGCCGACCTTGAGGCCGTCGAAGCCGTATATGTCGGCGAAAAGGGTCGGAACAGCAGTCGCTACGGCATAGACGCCCGCGAAAACGAAGCCGCCGTACATGAAGAGTAAGCTAAGCTCCTTCTCGCATATGAGGATAAGAGATGTCAGGAACTTGGACCAGGCGAAGTTAGCCTTGGAAGGGGGCGCGGCCGTGTTAGCAGGGGTAGCGGTGTTGTTGTTGTTGTTGCTCTCGGTATCGGAAGCGTCCTTCTTCTGCCGGCGGTTGCGGATCAGCTGCACCACCGTCTGGTTGCGTCTCCGGGGCAGGACGGAGCCGTCGCCCACGACCTGGCGGCAGGTCTCCGGGAAGAAGAAGATCAGGACCAGGAGGTTGGCCCCCGCGCACGCGGCCAGGAACCAGAAGATGCTCCGCCACCCCAGGTACTGCGCGAGAGCGCCGCCGATCACGGGTCCCAGGCTGGGCCCCAGCGTCACCGGAACCGCGATAAAAGCCGTGTATTGCCCGCGCTCCGCGCTGGTCGCTATGTCCGCCACGACCCCCTGGCACAGAGCTTGCGTGGCCGATATGGTGGCGGATTGGAAGCACCGCAGACCGAGGAGGCTCCCGTAGCTGTCGGACTTGGCAAGGCCTACGTTGGCAATGATGTAGAGCACGAAGCACGCCAGGTACACTGGCCGACGCCCCGAGGTATCGGCGAACCCGCCGATGAAGATGGGCGTGAGGCCCTGCAGAATCATGTAGCTGGTGACTGTGAGGTTGATCCGCGTGATCGAGACGTCCAAGTCCTCAGCCGCGATATTTAGCGCAGGTAAGTAGATCTGAGCCGTCCAAGAGGCGAAAAGAGCGCTGAAGGCGGCGCTCAGGACGATTAGCCGCTTCTGCCACGGCTTGTAGACCGTGAACAGGGGCGGGACCTCCTCGACCGCCGTGGTGTCCTCTGACACCTTTGACTCAGTGTTGATATCAGTAATAGTGACAACCGTGTCACCACTTATCTCGCTGGTCCTCTTGGGGTCGTCTGGTAGATCCGTAGGTACCACTACCGAAACATCCTTCTCGATAACCACTGTTACCTCTCGCTTGTCCTCCATATCTAAGCTAACTTTTCTTCCGCCTTTATTGCCGTGTATACTTCCGTGTGTAGATCTCGGGGCCGAAACTCACGTGCTAGTCACGTTGGAATCTGCGCAATGGTCAAAGCTGGAGGAGGGCTCACCAGGCAGAGCGCAACCAGAAGGCGTTCCGAGGCGCCGTTTAACAACATCTTTCAAGCTTATGGATTACTATTTCGGTAACATCACGCCATACCATTTGTATAGCGAAATTAGCTTATACAGGCGAGCAACGGTGCTCGGTAGTTCGCTGTTGAGCCATAGGTTACCGCACCCAAGGGCTCCCTTCCCTTGTTGGCCCTTCAGGCGGATCGGCAGTTAAGCCTAGATTGTGGCTTGTGTGGAGGGCTTCTGTTTTCATCTGTCCATATCGCCTCTAGAAGTCTTGGCATCTCTGACGAACCTTGACAGACTCGAGGGCCAACAGCTGATAGTCCCATGGCCAGAAAAGAATGCTGACAAGAATAGACTCGTCTAGGCCCTAACCCTCGCCAATGGCAAGGGGTTGAGGTGTCAACCAGGCACAGCAAGCACTAGTTCCCGTCAACGGGAAATTCGGGATCTCTATAGTCTGGTAGCGATCCTCGATTTGATATTAGGTTAGGTACCTAACCTAACCTACCTAAACGGCGACCTACTGACTCTGGGTACGTGTCATATTATAGATACGTACCTACCTATCAACGCAAGTCCAGCCCTACATATTGTCTCAACGGGGACACATGCATGACCCACCGTCTGATCTTTATATGTTGCTGTGCTACCTATATCATCTCCTTATAAGCCCTCATGGATCTCTTTACACGGCATCTTCTCCAAACCCATCCTATGCTGTGCTGCTCTACTACTGAGGGGTTTTTGCTGCCAAACTCCTCAGTCCGGAGGCAAATGATCATAGGTAGAGTCCTAGGTTCTTGATAGCACACGCCGGTCTCGCCCTCCCTCACCCTGTTCGCCATACATAGCGCCGAGTGGAGCAACTTGGCAGCTGTCGACTAAGGGGATGTAGGTAATCCTTGACTATTGCACGCAGGGCGGGAAGGAAGGTAGGATTCGATTCTAGCCGACTCTGTCCATCTGAGACTCTAACCGAGATGCGATGAGAAAGAGACACCTAGGGGGAGAGAGATGCAGAGAAGAGGGTATGGGACACCCCCGTAACAAAAACGGAATTCAGATCGCGGGCGACCGAGATCGTGGGTAGTGGAGCCTTGGATTGAAGGAATATGGGAATGGGGGACTGAAAAGGGAAATAGGATACGATGTGTGCATTTAGGGGATAAGAGTTTAACTGGTAGAGGAGCTGCAGAGAGATACCTACCTCCCAGGTACGTACAAAGTAATCAAACTAGTATATCTGAATATCTGGCACTGGGCATTCATATCTGGTAGTCCTTGGGTTGGGGCGCTTGTGTGTGTGTGTGTGGATTTGTACATAACAACATAAAGTGTATAAAAAGTCGGCCGGGATCAGACGGGGCCGGGCGATACGACGTTGATTCAAGGTTGGTCATAGTCATATCGAATCGGAATCTCGCCCGCACGCGGATCTATCCTAGTAAACGATCTAATATAGTTTCAAAGGGTCTAATCCAGTTTAAGAAAATATCTACCTCCGTACCTAAGCTTTGAAGAAAGAAAAGAAAAGAAAAAAAAATGAAAAATGATAGCTATACGCCCCCGCCCCCCGCCCCCCTGGACCATGAACCTGTAAATACTACCTCTATGCGGACTGAAATAACAACGCACACCTAGGTGTGAAGTACCGGGGTTAAGGGGGGGAAAAGGAGGGGAGAACAGCCACAGAACCCTTCAAATTGTCGGTTATCACGACATTGCTCCGGCTGAACGGGACGATGTCACATTTATACCGATCCTGCAATCCCGCAACTACTACTGAGTACGATAAGGGTACGAATAATCAGGATAAATAAACGACCGTTGCATCGGCAACAAACTCTCGCTTCCAATGACAAGTGCTGCATCATACGGTACCGGTGTTTTTTTTGGTTGGGCGCAATCGAGGCCCATGTGGCGAAGCGAGGAGCTGATGGGGGACTGTCGGAGCTACGTACCTTAGGTGCCTAGCTAAGGTAATAATACAATTATATGCCGGGGGGGCTTGAGGAGAACGGGATAGCGGGGAGGAGGTATGAGGGGGACTTTTGCCCTCGGGTCTGCCACGATCGTCGCAAGCCTCGCCCAGATCTTTTGACGTTCAGCTTGAGGTGTCTAAGTGACGCGTAGGAATCTATTACCTGGCTTAGGTACCTAAGGTAGGTCCTAGGTTAGGTTGGGTACCTCCTATTCGATTAGACGGCTTCTTTATCTTGAAAGTGGCCGGAAGCGGTTTTGGAAGTCTATACGTTTAATTTACGTATCGAAGAGTATAATATTTGAGACAGCGACGTTTACTACTATTATAATAACAATTATAATAACAGCGATAATAACTAATGCAGATACGAGAACCTAGTGGTGTTATTACTATTCATTCTATTATGCTACGCCTTTGGCTGTTAAGCTATACGCTGTGAACGTCGTATGTACATATTTTTTGTTGCCGCCATCAACCCTTAGTTCGCCAGTGGCGCTACGTATTTCTGCTGGGGCCGCCATAGCTTCACCGGTTGCGCTTCATAAGCCGGTTAGCCAAGAAGCTCCAATGTGGGGTGCATCGAAGCGTGGGGGGGATTTTCAACTTACTCAGGCTCTCGCGCCAGTGAGCCAGCGCGCCGGGTGTCCTAGAGAGGATGGTGATGGCGATGATCATATCGGTGTCAAAACCCCTGAGTTGGTAGGTAGCAAAAGATCAGCACAGGTACGCAGATAGATAGGCAGATAAATGAATAGATAGATGGATGGTAGAAGACAAAGACCCGGTTGTTACACGCCGAGAGATTGACAATGCAACGGTAGAGTCGCACTTACATGGCCGTATAGAGGAAGCAACCCATCAGGTCAGCATTTGCTTTGAGTCCTCGCTCGATGAAGTACGGGTCCTGGTTGGCGTACTTGTCGATGGCCATGGCCACGCGCAGGAGGGGGTTAGCATCAACGGCTTCCCGGTGCTCCTCTAGGAGCTCTTCGATAAGGGCTACGCGTGGGTCCCGCGTCTTGTACACGCGGTGCCCGTACCCGAACAGCCGGCCACCCTTGGCCTTGATGCGCTCTATGAATGGTGGGACGCGTTCCGGCTTGCCGATCTGCTTGAACGCCTCGTACGCCAGGTCGATCGCGCCGCCGTGTAACGGTCCGTATCCGCAGATGATGCCGGCCGTAACCGCCGAAACTGGGTCGATGAGCGTCGATCCGGCATGTAGCACGGCAGCGGTAGAGTTGGTCATCTCGTGGTCCGCGTACAAGATCCATAGCTTTGCCAGGCACTTCTCCACCTGGGGATCTGTGATACCCATCATCAGGAGGAGGTTCCCGAGCAAAGACCGGTTTGTCTCGGGTGCGTTCCATTGCTTGTCGTTCTTGTGGCAATAGATAAGCGAAATTGTGGCTGCGAGGTACGCAATGGTTCGCACCAGTGCCTCGTCGGCCACTTCGAGGTGGCCGTGGAACATGGCGCTTTGCTGGTGACGTGTCTTGCAGATAACGCTATCATTCGCAGCGAAAGCGCTCATTCCAGCGAGGATCATAGGGAAGGTTTCAGCGTCGCGGCTGGGGACTGGTGTCAGTGATATTGCGCCATGCTACGTTTCTTTCTTTACTTTATCAGGGGAGAAAAAAAAGGGGGGGCGAGGTAACCATACGGGAATGATGAGATAACATCTTTTACGGTCTGAGATGGTTCCATAGCATTACTCATAACTTCTCGGACATGGTTCTTTTGCTGCTGAGTCGGAATGCTGCCCCAGATGATGAGATGCATTATATCCTCATACACATATTCGTGGAATAAACTCTCAATGGGAAAATCACGGTATCGAATGATGCCGCGTAGACCATCACTATTCATTAGAGCTGTCAGTATATCGGAACGATAGTAGCAAGTAATATGAATAATAGTATTGTTAGAGAGGCGCACATGTGAGTGATACTTGATTCCATGCACGCCGTATGTTGAAATCCATTGTCGATAATGTGTAATGGGCGAGCCTTTAGAGAGGTAGCTATGTCTTCTGTACTCTCAGGAGCACCAATTCGGCCAATGTCTGAGGCGCGAATATAATCTCCTTTTATTGGGATGGTGTAGGACTTCCCCGTGCGAGAATCTGTGACTTGAAGGTGGTGCTCCATTGTTTTCGCAGTTTTCAATCTGATATGTTGAGCGAGTTGTGATGTGATGTGATGAGGGAGTAAGTGTGAGAATGAGAGTAAGAGTAAGAACGAGAGTTTCTAACATGCGATAGAACTCAGAACTAGAAACGTTTAAGAAAAAAGATCATTTATCAAACTAGTTGAAATGATCGACTATCTGTATCGCTTTCTACCCTTTCGTGGCTAAAATGGGCGTTCTCTAGAACTTAGGGCTGGACTTTTTGGGGATCCCTGAATCCCGCAATCCGTTAATCCCCTGCTCCCCGTTCCCCTGAATCCCCAGATCCTGAAATCCACGAATCCTGATACTCACCGTCGGTGGCCTGGCATTCGCGCCGTAAACGGTACGTGATAAGAGTTTCTGAGTATTCTAGATGTTTAGATAGGAACTTCAAAATAACTATATAATTCATTGCAATTTGCGGTTAACCTTAAGTACGGCTATCAAGCTCTCTTCCCCTATCATCACGCCTGTTCTCAATATCAATCTTGTCTTTGAACAATTAAACTCCTCTATCTTGCTCTATAATTTTCTCTCTCTCCTCTAAAATGGCTACCGCCGCTGTTGCGTCTACCACTGGCTTTATGGGCATGTGGAATGGTACTAAGGACGGCAGGGAAGAAGGATACGTTGACTGGGCCAGCGGCGTAACCAACATCCATGACCCTCTACAAGTAAAGATCGAGGTTGAGGACATCCGAACACTAAACCCTCAGCCAAGCTACGAGAGCAACGGATACGGGATTGTGAAGCACAAGTCTTCTTTAACCCCCGACCAGTTCTTGGCTGGCAACGACCCCGAAGGTATGTGTTTTTTACTTATACTTGGAAAACCGGCTATCAAACCGTTCGGCAGTTTTTTTTTTTTTTTTTTTTTTTTTTTTTTTTTTTTTTTTTGCTGACGAAAGTCTTACCGTTTTAGGCAAGAAATATATTGAAGATGTGTACTACAAGGAGGTCGCAGAGCTTGTTAAGCAGGTCACCGGCTCTGATATTGTGGTTCCCTACGTGTTCCGCATCCGCCAGAACAGCATGAAGGCCGGCGAATTTGCCGCTAACAAGCTTTCGCATGCTGCTCTTCCCGTCGCCCACGTCGATCGAGACGCCGTGACGGGAGAAGATGGTGTGCGAGAGGTACTTGGCGAGCAGGCGGATGAGCTCATCAAGCAGGGGAAGCGATATGCCCAGGTCAACGTCTGGCGCACAGTCGACCACCCTATCCAGAAGTGGCCTCTCTGCTTCATCAACCACAGCGGCGTCGACGGCTGGAGCTACGACACCCACTTGGCACGCGTGTATCCTACCAATGACCCCAGGATAGTCATCCGTGGCACGAAAAAGCACGACAGCGTCGTGAAATACGACCCAGGGTAAGTACCTACCTAACCTACCTACCTATATAGATTCCACCATCCAGACTTCTCAAGATGTGCCAAAACGAAGGCTAAAGCGGTATATACAGTTACAAGTACCACTACGTAAGCAAGCTCGACCTAGACGAAGCTCTCGTCTTCTCCTCATTCGACTCGGACGTGACTAAGGTCTGTCCCCACGGCGCGTTCTGGGACGATGCTAGCCCGGATGATGCACCGACGCGCCGATCCATCGAGGTTCGCTGCTGGGTCTTCTTCGACTAAGCTGGCTCGCGCGTTGATTGCCGTTCGACAAAAGGGGAGTTATTTGGGATAATCGAGACAGGTGGTTTCTTGATTTATGTCTTGCAGGAGAGGGCGTCCATCATTTCTACATCAGGCGTGCCCTGTGCCTTTCGGCCATTTGTATAGGAATTAGTAGCAAGAAAGGTAGTTTAATATATGTATCTCTGTACGTTGTCCATATACCAAAGATAAGGGCCGAGTGTTGTGTAGCCACGACGAGTAAGGAAGATATATTTTGAGGGGATGCTGGCGGTTCTTTAGGCAGAAGTCTTGATGGGGCGATTCAGGAATAAATTGGCGAGGGCAAACCTTCGGCTCAAAAAAACAAGATTTCTTATGAACTTGATGCGCTTACGAGGGGATTACCAGTGGGAGCATATAGTGAACGGCACGGAGAGACGGGGCCGTGATGTTGTCCTACCTCGGTATCGCCTTCGCCTTGTGTGAACATGATCGTCTCTCTCGACGTGGGCCCAACTACGGAAGAGGGAACGGGTTGGTGCGGAGCAACACGGCTTGGTATAAGCTGCCCACCACGACAATATTGCTATGCTGCCGGCATTTAGTGACGAGAAGGATCACAGAAAAAAATTGGCCGAGCCATATTTTTTTCATTTAGTTCCATTATCCAAATCTGTACTTTCAGCTCTCAGCTTTCCCTTATGGCCTTCTTGATCTGTAGAAGGTAGGTATGCAGGGAAGATACCCAGGACCTTGCCGTGTTTGTGCGATCCACTAGGGCTAATGACACACCACCATCACCATCGCCCACACACACACGCACACGCACTGCTTTCCAGGTGCAGATGTGTAATGTCTTGGCAAAGGTCACTAGATGATACCAAGCCGCAGCGACGGGACCCGTATTCGTTCGGTCGTGAGGGTCCCAAGCCAGTTCATGAACCGGGACCCGCGGGAATTCTCTAAAGGATGGATGGGGGCCAGCGAAACGCAAGTCATGCTGACCTGCAACTCTGATCTGACCGTTGAGTTCCTCGTACGTTTTGCTCTTGGTCCGGACAGCCCGGCCGACACGGCGGTCGAGAAGTACCAGGATGGGGGTGAAGCTTTTTTCTTTTATTCGCTTTCGTAATTTTCGTATCCCCTCGGGTCACCTGAACCCCTGAAGAAAAAAGTATAGATCTCGACGTCGATGGAATGGTGAAGCATGGTATACTACCTTACATTAATATGTTCGGACCGTCCCGGGCTCTCTATATTTTTACCTGACGGAGTGGGTTTTCGTATGAAATTCTCCGACAGTGTGGGTTTGCCATTCTTCGGTGGCCTCGCAAATGTTTCGGCAGTTGTGTCTCATCATACATAAAATCTCGAGGGTGCTATTGCAGGGAGCTAGAGCGTGTGATTCCGACTGCTTCTCTCGTACAGCGGGCTGATAAACCAGTTTCTATGCAGGTCGTAAGTAGTAAGCACAGCGCCAACGGGATTTTTTTTTTTTTTTTTTTTCGTTTATTTTTTTTCCTCTCCTACTTTCTTGTCCTTCAGAGACTATTCCATTGGTGAGAAATCAACTGAAAGTGGAAATCATTACCGATTTCTCTTGGCGTCAAGGTATCGATTGGTCCTAAACGGCTTTCTCGCAGACGTAGATCTAAAAGCTCCAAGCTCTTTGCATTAATAATAATCACTAAGTGATATGCATAAACGGTCAAACAGAAGCTATTCTGAGTGTACCCAAATACCGATATCGTTTTACGGTTCATGTTTAGTTTAGTTCAGTATTGACAAGACGCTTTTGTTTGTACTTTACTTACCTCTATAAAGCTTTCTCCTACCCTCCTACCCTCTTAACCTCGAAAGAAAAAAAAATGTTGCAAAGAGTCGCAATGTAGTTGGGAGTTGTCTCTGAATTTACACGTCGATTTAAGCTTATAACAGGTAGGTACCTGGTATCTCTAGAATCTGGGGTTTATGATGAATAAATTGCTTTGTGTACACATGCGTCATTACTCATATACGATCTATAGTAGGATACACGTTAATGACGTTTTTGAATAACTTTGTGACACATCTTCTTCTTACACACCTTAAAGTTGCATCTGGAAAAGCCTTTGCTACCCACGAAGCCACATTAGACACGACCACAATTGCCTAATGGGGTAAGTGGGTTCTATAACTTGGGTTGAGCTCCGGGTCACTCCGGGAAGTGGGGGGGATTGGGAGTCCCAACGGTACGAATACCTATGGTGGTTTTTTTTTTTTTTTTTTTTTTTGGAACCGCGGGAATTCCTTTACCTATCGGGCGTGAGGAGAAACTTTTATTATACGGTTGAAACGCGTGCCGTGTACCTGCTTGTAAGCGCGCTTTTATACTCACGGTACAGGGTGCAATAAGAACCAATCCGGAGATTTCATTGGTTAAACGAAGATATATTTCATACGCAGTACATAAAACTTGTTTTCTGCTCCCCCCCCCCCCCCCCCCCCCCCGCGGGGGGGGGGGGGGGGGGGGGGGGGGGGGGGGGGGGGGGGGGGTGGGTGTTGGTGTTTTTGGGTTTTTGGGTTTTTGTGTTTGGAT